TGTGTGTGTGTGTGTGTGTGTGTGTGTGTGTGTGTTTTCTCTGGGCATAATGAAATGTCAAGCAGTTTTAGATATTTTTCTCTATATTTTTCTGTGTTTTAATTTTATATGATGAGCATCTTTTTTTTTATAAGCAGGTAAAGTCATCAAGCTTTTCTCCTGGGCAGCAAAGAGCAGAAATATTATCAACATGTAGAAAGTCGATTTGGGGAAAATGTGGACATAGAGACAAAAAGTCAAAACTGTAAATGAACATTCTCACTCCTAGTGCTAGCCTCCCTTTCTCTGTGGCTCCAAACTCCTGAGCCAGCCACGGACAGCCTGGAGAAGAGAGGAATGTCCCACCTCCCATTTTCAAATGATCTATTCTTGGCAAAGCAGAGCTGAAGACACACCTAGGAATTTGGGCTGGTGTGACTGAGCCAGGCCCGGGCCTTCCTCCCTTCTGTCTGGGCCCCTAGAGTCTAGACCTGGCCAGCCCCTCTCCTCTCCTGCCCAGCCCTCGGGCACCCTGGCCAGCCAGGCAGAGCCAGGGATGGCGATTTTACAGCACTTTTATGGCTCTATTCTTGCCCAGTAAACCCACACCGGGCCCCACAAACACTCTGTGCGAAGGCCAGGCCCTTCCAGAGAAATGGTTTCCTACACCTTTACAACGTGATAGGAAAAAAGGGGCCGTTGGCTTTATGGAAACTATATAAAGTTTATGGAGTCTTGGCAGGCCAGAAGTGGAGAGGGCCTGCAGGATGGGGGTGGGCATCTCAAAGCGAGACGGCCATGAAAGAGCCGCAGGCCTGCGTATCGAGACCAGTCAAAATGCCAGTGACCAAAGCAACACTGGGGCACTCGGGGGACCGAGGAAACTGGCCTTGCTTGGGGAAGCAGCTGTGGGGGTGCTTTCTGGGGTAATATCATTTAATCTCCATAGCATTCCTGTAAGGGAGGCATGGCCAACCTCATTCTGTGGTGGGGAGACCAAGGCAGAGGTGTTTTGAAAATTGCAGATGTGCCCAAGGTCGCCCAGCCAGGGGTGGTGGCGCTGGAGTAGATGTTCTGCGGCAGGCTTGAGTTCTCGCAGTCTCTCCCGTGTATTGAGCGACGCGTCCCAGTTTCAGGTCCGGGTAACGTGGTGTCCACACTCTGCTTTAGTTTGGGACTTGTCTGCTATTTGTGGTTGTCTTGGGGTCCCCTGGGGTCCTTCCATCAGCCCCGTCCCCCTCCGCGGGTCAGCTTTGCTGTTGAAGCTGATCTGTGCTCAGGTCGCCCTGCTGGCCTTGCCTGGAACAGAAGTGAAGCCACCCAGAGGGGTTGGCTCTGAATCAGGACAGGGTTAGAAGAGAGTCTCTGCCTTTGGCCACCCCCCACCTTGTTCCAGTTCTGCCAGCAGATCCTCTTGGGCCCTGCAGGAGTGCCTCATGGGTCTGAACACGGGGTCTGAAGTCACCTTTTCCAGTTCCTGTCAGCCTTTGGTGTTCTAATCGATGTCTCCTTGCATGTGCACCTTGTGACATCCATGTTTTCTCTCTTTTACTCATTTGGCTGTGAATTGTTGGAGTGCAGATTCCATGAATGCTTAATTCTTCATCTCTGGTTTTGTCCAGAGAGCCTGTCATAATTTCCATAATATGGTGATTACTACATAAATATCAGGTGGGAGGATGGATAGGTTGGATGCATGGCTGGCTTGATGGGTGGATGGACAGATGGATGGAGGGATGGATGGAGGGATGGATGGAGGGATGGATGGAGGGATGGGTAGGTGGATGGATGGTTGGATAAATAGATGGGTGGATGAATGGATGGATGGTAGATGAGTTTTGTGTAGACTGTCAGATACCCACCTCCTCATTTACACCCTTGATTGCAGTTAAACTAGCAGCCTAACCCAGGTTCGCTGAGGCTTTTACTAAATGCACTTCTATTTCAGGGGATATACTTTGCTCTCACTGAAGCCATATAGGGAAACCAGCCAGAATGTTTGAATGTGTGTGTAAATACTTTACGGTCCCCATAAACTTGTTTAAAGACAGGTGGGGGTAAAATTGTAAACCGGGACAGCCTTGTGGGAGGGCCATTTGGAAGTAGCTATTAAAAGTTTCAATGTGCCTGCCACCAAAACCCAGCAGCTCCACTCTTAGTTGTCAGGGTGCCACCAAGACCCAGCAGCTCCACTCTGAGTGTCACGGGTAAGAAATACACTCATATGTTTGTGCACAAAGAACCATGCACCAGGATGTCATATAGTGCTTGTATCTGCATTGCTCAAAATGGTGAAAAATAGGCAGTAGCCTTGATGTTCTTCAACACAGGGAACACCCGGACTGTGGAAAATGCTGTAGCCATCAGAGAGAATAAGGTGGATCCATATTTCAAAGGGGAAGGATCTCCAGTAGAGCTTGGGACAGACACTCTCCCGGCTTCTGGGAGTTTCCAAACTCTGGTACTCACTGGACTCGCACATGTCCCTCCCAGCCTCATTTCTATTCAATTCTTTTCCTTCTCCCTTCCTTCTCACCCATGAAACACAGTTTACTGGAATTCGTTCTTTAATTCTTATGCCTACTAGCCAGTGACCCTCCCTTACAGAAAAGGAGGAAAATGAGAGAAGAGCAGTTATGTGTGTAATTATTGTCTGCTGCTTCTTCAATTAAAAAGATTGAAAGGCATAATATTGAAACATGATTTATGGGTGCCATGTTCTACCAAATAATGAGGCCAAGAAGAAGGAAGTTCCGTTGTTACAGAAAACCTTAGCCTTTGCTCTCCTGCAGGAGATAAATTGGCTCTCATTTTCTTATTGCTAAAGAAATGTGAAATGGTTTTAGGCATATAGGATATGGTCTTTCAATACGTTGAAATCCAGAACTGAGTAGTTTAGGAGTCGTCTGGCTCAGATATTGAAGGAAGTTCCCTGGAGGCGTGGCAGCTCGCACCAAGGAGGCTGTAGCCTCAGGCCACCATATATCCTCACCCAGACTCTAGGGCTGGGACCCATCTGCGAAACATCCTCTGGGTCCTCGAGGGCCCCAAGACAGCTAAGGCCACAGAACTCAGGAGAGAGCGGCAAAAGCACAGAATCCAGGGTTCCACCAGATTCAGGCTGTTTATTAACTAATTGCCCCTCTGTTTCTTCATCTGGAAGACAGAAATAATCACGTTACTGTTAATTGTGTGACCTCGGACAAGTTACACCATCTCCCTGAGCACCACTGTTCCATCTGAAGGTCGTAATAGCACCTGCCACAGAGGATGGTAGTAAGGACTAAATTAGTTAATGCATGTAAATTACCTGGGTCTGTGCCTACCGCATAGCAAGCGATCGGTACTTTAAAAAAAAAAAAAAATCACTGCTGTGACTATTGCAGACACCTTTGGCACGATTGGAATGGCTGGAATTCAAACTCAAGCCTTCCACTTCCAGGGTTCTGCCAGTGTGGAGCGGACAGACCTGGCTGGGGATTCCCAGCTCTGCCTCTCTTCAGCTGAGCAAGTCATTGGAACTTGTCTGAGCCCCATTCTGTTCAGCTGCAAAATAGCCATTTCTACTGTGCAGGGGGAGTTGTAAGGCAGTGGACTCCAGCCCTTTTGGCACCAGGGACCGGTTTTGTGGAAGAAAATGTTTCCATGGACAGGGTGGTGAGGGGTGTCATGCTCCTACGAGAATCTAATGCCGCCGCTGATGTGTCAGGAGGCAGAGCTCAGGTGGTTGCTCGCCCCGCTGCTCACCACCCGCTGTGCAGCCCAGTTCCTAACAGACACAGACCAGTACTGCTTCATAGCCCCGGGCTTGGGGACCCCTGTTGTAAGGTTTAAAGACGAGGCCGGGTGCGGTGGCTCATGCCTGTAATCCCAGTGCTTCGGGAGGCCGAAGAAGGTGGATCACAAGGTCAGGAGTTCAAGACCTGCTTGGCCAAGATGGTGAAACCCCATCTCTACTAAAAATACAAAAATTACCTGGGTTTGGTGGCGCATGCCTATAATCTCAACTATCCAGGAGACTGAGGCAGGAGAATCGCTTGAAACCGGGAGGCAGAGGTTGCAGTGAGCCGAGATCATGCCACTGCACTCCAGCCTGGTTGAAAGAGCAAGACTCCATCTAAAAAAGAAAAACGTGAATGGAAACAAAGTGTCCAGGACGCAGTAAGTGCTTGGCAGATGGCAGTTGCCCTTGACAGTGAAAGATCTTTGCTAAGAAGCCTCTTTGGGTCATGCTCTCCCCTGGTAGAAGGGGTCCATTCCTGGTTTATGTCCTTCTGGCTCAAGTTGGCTCAGCAGCAGGTGCCTGCAGGACTCTCTTTTCCTGGAGGGTGCAAAGTCTGCGCTAGCTCTAGAAATAATAGCTACAAAGAAAAACCACTGGCAGCCCCTGTGCCAGGGACTGTGTGGAGTCCCTGGGTGTCCTTAGAGCAGCCTGGGGAGTGAGTTCCTCACCTCATGTGCAGATGAGACATGGGGGGTGGGAGGGGACCAGCCCGGGCACACAAAGCTGGGAGATGGCAGGGCTCAGAGTCTGATCTTGGGCTGTCAGTTCCTTTCACCACACTGTGGCACGTTCCAGAGCCCCTATCCCAATTCCTAATCGTGGACTCCACTCTACCTCATGATGACTGTCCTCTCCCATCTCCTCACACCCGCCACTGCCACTGGGTGGCTATGCAGTGCCATTACAGCTTTGTGGGGTTGATTTGTATTTTTTTCAGCAGTGCTTCTTAACCTGGACTGTCAGATGTCTAAATGCCTGAATTGTGTCGTAGAGAATGTTCTGTTCCATGTGTCTGAATCTGTGGGTTTACATAAATGCTCAGGGATTGGGCTGGGGAGCATGGGTTCTGGGTGCCAGCTAAGGCCTTGCCAACCCCTTCCAGAAAGGGCTCCATGTTTACGTGGGTCGTCCTGGGGTTCTGTCTGCCCTCCACCTAGAGTCTCCCCTCGGGAAGGGGAAGGTGTGATTTTGCACATATTTCTTTTTCTCTCAGCTAATGGCATTTCTTTGTTTTCAGTTGAGAGGGAAAATGTGCAGAAGAGGACCTTTACTCGATGGATAAATCTACATCTAGAAAAGGTAATGGGACACTTGGGTGTTTGCTAAGTGATAGATTCTTCTGCCACTAAATTGACATTTCCAGAGAGTGGAGGGGGACCTGGTGACCTGTGCTCCTTTTGTTGTTCATTCACTTAAACATCTGTGAGTGCCTCCCCTGCCGGTTACCAAGCTCGGGACTGGGAGGAGATGACTGAGATGGCTCTGTCCTTAAGCAGGAATCTGAGCAGATGTTGGAAGGTGCTCCTTGTTGGACATACCAGCAGCTCCATACACGGGAAGCAGGTGTCTTTGGGCCTGAAACTCAGGTGGGCATCTTGATTGCCAGAACTGGGCTCTGTGAAGAGCCAAGAGCCATTTGTGGGTATTTGGGTTGATTCATGCACGAACTCTGATCATCTTTGGACAAAACTAGATGTCTTTCTAAAGTCACATCATGTTGCTATTTAATAATAATAATAGGGCCGGGCACAGTGGCTGTAATCCCAGCACTTTGGGAGGCTGAGGCAGGTGGATCGCAAGGTTAGAAATTTGAGACCAGCCTGGACAACATAGTGAAACCCTGCCTCTACTAAGGATACAAAAAATTAGCCAGGTGTGGTGGTGCGCCCTGTAATCCCAGCTACTCAGGAGTCTAAGGCAGGAGAATCGCTTGAACCTGGGAGGTGGAGGTTACAGTGAGCAGAGATTGCGCCATTGCACTCCAGCCTGGGTGACAGGGCGAGACCCCATCTCAAAAAATAACAATGATGATGATGGTAATAATAGTAATACCTGCCCCTTTTGATGTACTTCACTCTGCAGCAGGCATCCTGCTTAGTGCCACACACACGCCATGTCTCCTATCATCCTTATGATGACTCGGATTACCCCCTCCTATCAGAAGGAGGAAACAGAGGCATGGAGACATTATGTGGCTTTCCTGAACTTTCTGTGGCTTCTCTTCTGTATTCAACTTAGTGGCCCTTCTCTTCCTCTGTTTCTTTTTTTTTTTTCTTGCATCTGTGGTCTGGCTGTTTGGAGTTGCATTTTGTGTGCAAGCATCTCATGCACACCCCATAAAACAGAAGCAGCTCCCCCATGAAAGAGACTAAAGGAAGAGCCACAGAGGAGAGCAGTGCTGGGAGGGGATGAACAGCTCTGGGTGAGAAGGGGAATGGGAGCAGGCAGAAATCCCAGCCCTCCTGGCACGTGAGGTTGGACCTCAAGGCTGTGGGGCTGGGGCTGGGAGAGGAGAGACCATTTTTCTCTTTTTTGAGAAAGTTGATTTTTATCTACTCACTTCGCCTCTTTCTCCTTAAGCACCACTATATACTCAGCAAGTAGTCTCAATTCTGTCTGAAGCTGGTAGCACCCCACTTTCATGTCTGTAGGTATGTCTATTTTTTTCTCTCTTCTCCTCTTAAAAGGTTCAAGAGAGGCTGGGCATGGTGGCTCATGCCTGTAACCCCAGCACTTTGGGAGGCCGAGGCCGGTGGATCACTTGTGGTCAGGAGTTTGAGATCAGCCTGGCCAGCATGGCAAAACCCGTCTCTCCTAAAAATTCAAAAATTAGCTGGGCGTGGTAGCCCATGACTGTAGTCTCAGCTACCGGCGAGGCTGAGGCTGGTGAACTGCTTGAACCCAGGAGGCGGAGGTTGCAGTGAACTGAGATCACACCACTGCGCTCCAGCCTGGGTGACAGAGTGAGACCCTATCTCAACAAACTAAATGGTTCAAGAGTACTACTGACTGCACTTATGGTTAACAGATAGGAAAGGTTCTTAGGAAATCATTGAAATGATTAGAAAGCAGAGAAAACAAATGTGGCTTTTAGGAAGTGGGGCTCTTGACCGCAATTCTAATTCAAATAGTTACCATTAGGTCTAGGATATTGCACAAGCAGGCACTCGGCCACCCACACCTCCACTCCCCACATGTAGAACGCGTGACACGGTGCCACCACGTCACCCAGGAGCCTCCTGAACTCTACAGGTGAAAGGTTGTATCACTGATGGAGCTTTATAAATCATCTGCCAGTTGTTTTGACTATTGATACATTTTCAGCATTACTTCTAAAGTGAAGTGTTATTTTTGGGGGAAAAAGAAAAGAAAACTGGTCCCCAAACCTGAGATCACTGAGCTCTGAAATGAATGCCTCATGTGTGTCAGGGTAGCCGGAAATTCCTGCGGGAGGACACACTAGAGCCTTGGAGTATTTCTTTCTTTTTTAAAAAATTAAATAAATGCAGAAAAGTACAGAGGGTCATATGGCAAATACCCCCCATCTCACCCACCGCCCCAAGTGAACCTCTGTTCACATTTATCATATCAAGAATTCTTCTCCTTGGCCAGATTCCTGCCCCCTTCTCAGGGCAGGTGGGTAGCGCCCACTCTGAAGATAAATCAGATAGCACCTGAAACTGATGTCTAATAAACAGGGCAAAATTAACAGCCATGTTTCCAACCTTGAGACTTTCAAGAACAACCTTTCATGTAAAGGAAACCTGGGAACTCCTTGGTGAATTGGGCTTAACTGCAATTTGAAGGCTGTCAGAAATATTTACTGAGTCTCTGGCTTCTGGAAAAATCCCTTAATTTACCGAAGGAGTTAGATCATGAAGAAAGCCCTGGGGGTGCTGTTTATTTGGCCATACCAATCTCATGAAGCCCACGGAGCGTTTGGGGCCCAAGGAGTGTTTTCCCTGGCGCAGGTTCAATTTCTCCCCCTGCCAGCTCACAGGATGGACTCTGGCCAAGGCCCTGTTTGCTGCTGCTGCCGAGGCTCTTACAGGAACTGTCAATGGATATTATTCTTCAGGTTTAACTCAGAAGTCAGGCTTGGCCACGGCCAGGGCTGGTAACTGGAAATTTTGTTAGTCCATTTATCAGGGGATATTTTGTTCGGGTCTCCCGTTTTCTGCATTGCATTAGCAGGAATGACATTTCCGTAAGAGCCTCAGTAACCTGACGCCGTCATGCTTGGGGTGGAATGTACCCAAGGAGCTGCGGCAGTTTGCAAAGAAAATAATTTGCCTTTTGGTTCAAAGACGCTGTTGCCCTTGAAGCGAAGCCCTTTTCTGTGCACCTGCAGGTGGAATTGCCCTGTATTTTGACTAACTGGTAGTAAAGGGACTCATATGAAGGGTAAGGAAATGCCACCTTCCTCCATAAAAAATAAAACACAGGTCCTCCACGGCTGCCATGGGAAGGAGGCTTTCCCACAGGGAAAGGGTGGCGGGGCCTCAGTTCCACTGTTTCCTGCCCCTGGGTCTCTGGCTGGTTATGGCTGCCACTCTCCTGTTGGCCTCAAGAGCACCATGCCCCATTAATCCTGGCTCCCATGTGAATGCCCAACCTTCCCCTCTACTCAGGAGCAGAGAGAGCACCCAAACCAGCTGCTCTAACCTTGCCAAAGCCCCCCATCCAAAAAGGTAAACAGGAAATTCATGCTGGGGTGGGAGCTTATTAAAAATCGGGTTTCGGCCAGGCATAGTGGCTCATGCCTGTAATCCTAGCCCGTTGGGAAGCCAAGGTAGGAGGATATTGCATGAGCCCAGGACTTTGAGACCAGCCTGGGAAACATAGAGAGATTTAATTTCTACAAAGAATTTAAAAAATTAACCTGACACGATGACACGTGCCTGTAGTTCCAACTATTTAAGAGGCTGGGACGGGAGGATCACTTGAGCCGGGGATTTGAGGCTGCAGTAAGCCCTGATCATGCCACTGCGCTCCAGCCTGGGCCACAGAGCAAGGTCTCCTCTCAAAAAAAAAAAAAAGAAGAAGAAAAATGCAAGTTTCTGGACCCTGCTCCCAGAGATTCTGTTGTGATTAAGAGGAGTTATTATCAAGCTTGTTTAGACAGTAGAAACCTTTCTTCAAGCAAAGCATTGCCTAGAACTGTAAATGTAGTCATCCACCTCCTCTGTAGGTTCCACATCTGTGGCTTCAACCAACAGCAGATAAAAAAAATTCAGAAAAATAACTGCATCTGCACTGAACACGTACAGATTTGCTGTTTGTCATCACTCCCTACACAATACAGTATAACAACTATTTATGTCGCATTTGCGCTGAGTTAGGTATTATCAGTAATCTAAAGATGATTTTAAGTATATGGGAGGATATGCATAGATTATATACAAATACCGTGCCATTATATATCAGGGACTTGAGCATCTGCAGACGTTAGTATCCGAGGGAAGTCCTGGAACTGATCCCATATAGATACTGAGGGATGTCTGTACAGGCCGATAAAAGCTGTGCCTCTGATTAAAGGGGGTCAGTGGGATCAACTTCCTCCTCCACCCCGCTCTCTCTCGTAGGGTGTCCTAAAGCTGCTCTGCTGAAGCCTAAGGTTCTGGGGAACACAGTTTGCAAATCCCCGCACTGGAGCATCTAACCCACAAGTTTCAGCCAGTTCCTCAGACTCGTGGCCATGTCCAGCCAAGCTCCTAGTGAATACCGTGTTGAACCACACAGTGTCAGTTCATCTGGACAGCAGACCCCTGCTGGGTCTAGGCTCAGAGAGGAAAGCCCAGGGGGCTTCTAGCTATTTCTCTCCCAGGCCCCGCTCCACACTCCAGATCCTGTTTAGGGAATTGCCTTTTTCCTTATGGAGATGGAAGTAGTCTACGTGAACTGACTGGGGCTTCTGTTTACTGACCCAGGGAACCCAGAAAGTGAGTGTGGGAAGAAAAAGTTCCTCTTTAAAGTTTCCTTTCTTGTTAAAGAATAAATGTGCTAATAATTCTTTGTTAAGCCCTATCTTCTGTAGCTGTTAGACATGCCGTGCTTACAGGCACATAGTACATCCTATGTCCTTGTACTTTAACCAGTATATCTGTGCTGAACGTGCTCACAGGCATGTCCCAGCTCTCCATTGCTTTTCCCTGTTTAGAAAAGTTTTAAGTCGTTAGCCAGTCGGGTTTTAGTTTAGATTGTGAGGTCTGGCTCCAGCCAACGGAGATCAGACACAGCAGTAAGGATGACCCCAAATGCATAAGGAATAAATGTGTCTGTTGTCCTTTGTTCTTTGTACTCTTGTGGCAGGATGGCTAGCGAGGGTACCCTTCCTGCAGTCCAGAAAGTAAAAACTCCATTGCTAAAATAATTCTTTGTCTCAGTGCTAATTTTTCTTTGCGTCCCTGAGCATCTATTTCCAACAGTGAGTGAGTGAAGCAGAGAGATGTTTCAAGAGCCGTTCACTAGGAAGGGGCAGCCAGCTGAGGACATGTCCCTTCCACTGAATGCCACAAGGCATACACCCTCTGAATGACATGTCTTTCTAAGGAGGGCATCCCAAGGCTCTGCAGGCAGGAAGCCACTTAGCAGTCAGCAGGTGGGACTGGGCTGGGCAGGCGGGTACTGTGCCAGCCTCCCCACCTGCGTGATCTCCTTTCATTCCAGCCCAGCCCTCTGAGGAGGGTCAGATTCCTCACCTGCTCTTGCAGACAAGTATGCTGCCTTTGCAAGTGTGCAAGGTCAGGTTAGGCCCAGGAAGGTTAAAGAACGTGTCCAAGGCCAAGTTGTTGTTGAGGTAGAGCTTGGCTTTGAACTCAGGTGTGTCTAACGCCCTTGCTTCTCATTGGCTCATGTGAGAGGTGCAGTGTTGGTTTATCGCAGGACGCTGGATTTTGTGGAGGAATAGAGGGAGTAGCATGCAGCTTTTTAATTTTTTTGGTGCAACTTTAATGAGTTTGATTTGTAGTAATGAGCTTGTATTGCTTTTGTACCTAAACATGTAAATACACATAAACATATGCATGGCCATGTAAATCAATCTCTGAACCTTTGAGTTCCTAGTAAGCTTACACACGTGGGGTGAGGAAAGGATCCTTCCCTTCACCCAACCATTGAGCCTTTTAGCAGGCCAGCTGTGTCCAGCCAGCTGCCCTCCCTTTCCAGTCAAGTCTCACACGCCAGCACCCTTTCTGGCTTCCTCTGCTAAGGGTTCCTCTACCTCCAAACTTGGTCTAAATATTGGCAAAACAATGACAGGCACCTCAGGAGGGTGCACTTTTGAAGACTAAAGCAGTCTTGGAGATGGGGGGCCCCTACAGACACCCGGACGGAAGCCTGGGGAGTAACCGGCCCAGGGTCTTGTCATTGCCATGTGGATCTTGAATGTGCTTGTGTTGGCCCTTGTGGCCTGATACAGGAAACAGGACAATACCGAACAGCTAGCTTGACCAAATGACCAAATGCTGCAACTATCACTCGCCCTCTTTGAGCCTCAGTTTCCCCAAATCCAAAGTGAAGGGTGGCTGGGTGGGGTGGCCCAGGCCTGTCATCCCAGCACTTTGGGAGGCCAAGATGGGTGGATCACCTGAGGTCAGGAGTTTGAGACCAGCCTGTCCAACATGGTGAAACTCCGTCTCTACTAAAACTACAAAAATTAGCTGGGCGTGGTGGCATGCACCTGTAATCCCAGCTACTCGGTAGGCTGAGGCAGGAGAATCCCTTAAACCTAGGAAGTGGAGGTTGCAGTGGGTCAAGATAGTGCCACCGCACTTCAGCCTGGGTGACAGAGCATGACTTTGCCTCAAAAAATAAATAAATAAAATGAAGGGCCTGCGCTAGGTAATTTCACATAAATCCTAATAGAATTATTTTATTCTACAGAAGGATACAGTCAAGACATGCCATTTCTTTCTGCTCTTAAGCATGTGGATGTGATCTGAACTTGGGGTCTGAGCTCTTAGGTTACTAGGGCCCTCAAGGGTCACTTGTTTGATCAGCCCCCTGGTGGGGAATCTTCTCTGCAGCCGACCTGCCGAGTGGCTGTGCTCCGCTACCCAGGCATCAGCTCCAGGAGGAGGGGCCCGCTACCTCCTTGGACGGCCTTTTCTACCTGTAAACGGAACTGGATGTTTGGAAGTTTCCTCCTGAGCAGAAACCTGCATCTCGGAAATAGCTTTGTGGACCACATATAATACACATATAAATACGCATAAATATGCATTGGTTGCTAATTGGCCACTTTCTTCCCTTCTCTTTCAAAGTGCAATCCACCTATAGAAGTTAAAGACTTATTCATCGATATACAAGATGGCAAAATCCTAATGGCGTTGTTAGAAGTCCTGTCTGGGCGGAATCTGGTACGTAAGTCACATAAGGGTCGGAAAGAAGCAAAATGCAAAGGAAAACACTGCTGAGGTTTTTTTTTTTTCAACACATATACCTGCGTGCACACACACATCTGGACAAGAAACTCTGAAGCAGTGAATTTTTTTTTTTATTGGTGCCTACAAGCCATATAATCAGATGGGACAAACTAGTACCTTTTAAAAAAAAAAAAAAAAAAAGTAAATCTAATTTAGTAAATAAATGCCCAGTGTATTCTGTGAGGCTGTTAAGGCTTAAGATTAGAACTAAAGAGTTAAAGTTTAGCCAGCCAGCCATTATATAAACTAGAATTATCACTAAAAACTGGAAAAATTGGAAGGGAAATTCCTTTTGTTAACCACCCTAAGGCTAAAACTAGAACTGCTGGCTTCTAGAACATTCTTTTAAGTATGACTGAAGTTGAGCCAGCTGGTCTTGACATTCATTTCACCTTGGACCTGAGCCAGACTTCTCCATGTTGCATGCATCTGGTGTGTGCAGATTGGCCCTTTTTCTCCTCTTCACAGACAGCGGGATTTTTCAGCCTTGGCACTGTTGACTTGGGTCAGATGGTTTCTTGTTGCGGGAAGATGTCCTGTGCATCGCAGGACGTCTAGTATCTAACTGCTAAATGCCAGCATCACCCCCGGGTGCGAAAGCCAGCCATCTCCCAGACATGGTGAAATGTCCCATGAGGGGCAACCTGATCCATTCCAGAATGGAGGAGTGTGAAGGTTGAGAAAACCTGCTCTGGGGTCCATTGATCTGGCCTTGGTAGCCTATCGTGCCTAACATAGAGGTGCAGCAGTGGGTCACCCCTCTACCGAACCGTAGCTCAGCCAGCACAGAGTGTCCTGGGTCTGTCCTTAACTGTAGGTCTAGAGTCAAGAGTCCCTGCTTCTCTTCTCAGATGTAATGTAGCTGGTATCTTATCAGACTCCTTAACCCTCCCCCACTTTGCTTTCCCAGTGGCAAAACAGGAGATAAAATTTATTAGCAGCACTCACAGAGAGCTATGCAATGTTAGGTGATGAATTCTCAACAGTATTTGGTTTCTTGGAGGGACGTGCCGTGACCGTGGTCTCCGAAAGACTCCATGAAAAGGTGCCTTCTGGTCCCTTGTTTGTGCTCCCAGCAACACAGGCTCTCCACTCTATTGCCAGAGCCCGGGACACAGCTGCTGTGTCCCTGGTGGGCCTCCATGGGGAGTCTTTGATTCTGGAGCCCAGCCAAGAACAGGTCTCCACTTCCCCATGAGCGTGGCCTGGCACTTCACAGCTGGTAAAACTGACCCACTGGGTTGCCTTGAAATGTCATCTTCCCCCAACCTGGAGGAGCGTCAGTGTGCTTTGATTCGGGTTGACTGTGATGGCAGTCCTGGTATGTAGAGTTAACGTTGTCAGAGTTTTAGCTCCTGCAGACATCCTTCTCTCTTTCGACCTGGGATAACTGTCCACAAACCTCTTGGCTAGAAAACAGAAACATCTGCTGCCACCAGGGAGGACCTTGGCTGGATGATTTAGCAGCTGAGCGGTGATGCTGACAGCTCATGCTCCCTGCCCTAACAAAAGCAGCAGTTCAGCGAAGGGAACATGTGACTGAGGCTCTCAGGAGAAGGGAGGAATCTAACAAGCCAGGAGCTGGGTCCCGGAGAAAAAATTTGACAAATTTGTCCCTTGTCAGCTCACTTCAGTTTCCCCCACTCACCAACTTCAGTGAGTTAAATCCCAAGTACTGTAAATAAGGCCAAGCTTCGAAAGCCCTCTGATGTCACATTTGTATGTCCTGAGAGGTACCTGGGTTTGGATGCATTCCAGGTGGGTTTTAGCTGTAAGCGCCTAAGTTTGTCTTGAAACTCCTGTGAAAACAGTAAAGCACACCCAGCGGCAGCGCTGGGCATCGTGAAGTGCCTGTGTGGGTTGAATGTGCTTGTTTGTTCTGTTCTGTTTTATAGCTGCACGAATACAAATGTTCGTCGCATCGTATTTTTCGGCTGAACAACATAGCGAAAGCACTCAAGTTTTTGGAAGATAGCAATGTAAGTGTTTGAAGCGCATGCTGCTAACACAGACTTGTCCTGTTAGGAACAGGATGTCATCTGAAGTTCAGCGCTGGTCTCAAGAGAAGCGTGAGACCTGAGCTAAAATGGTCAAATTCAACTAAGCTTAAATTTCACAGAAATCACTTAGATGACCCCTCGGTTGGGAACATAGTCCATGACTCCATGCCCACCCACTTTGCATCCATCAGGATTAAAACTCTGATGGATGGTCAGTCGTAGAAAGGCAGAGAAGCTGACTGGCTCTCAGATATTTAGAATTTAGTTCATGTTTTCTTCTTCATTTCCCTTAATAAGAGTATGGCGAGCATGTCCAAGTGTAAAACTTTCTCTTGGAACTTAGAATATGGGAGAAAAAGGGGAAGAGGGAGGCTAAATGAGCCAGAGAAAAAAATTATAAAATTCTCTCTTTTTTGATGTAACTTTCTAGCCTCTGATGAGCTTTTCCTGAGCCTGGAACTCTGCCCCATGTTCTTCGCACATGGGAAGGGTTGACTCATCAGGGATGGAGTTTCATCGCCCCTCTTTCATTAGGTTTCACCAGTCAGTCCGTATTAAAACAAAACCCAGCTTGCCCAAAACATGGGCACACACACTGAGATTTTATCATAAAGCGGATTCATTTGGGGTTCTTCATAGTGATAGAAGCTGAACTCAGCTGATTTAAGCAGAAAAGGAATTTGCAATTTGCTGAAAAGATAGTGAGTAGCCACAGAATGACTTGAAAGACCGAGCAGTCAGGGACAGAACCCTTGCCAGGCACCAGGACCACTGCAGAGCCCCCTAAAGGGGCGGTGGGACATGCCCCCACTGCCCTGCCCCTGCAGCCTCAGGGCAGCCCCACCATCACCTGCAGGAGGAGCTCTCTCTGCTTCGTGGTCATCTCAGCATCACAGGTTTGCTTTCAGTAACCATTTGGGTCACATTTACTAAGGCTCATTTGTGGGCCTGGGACTGCTCAGCCTTGGGGACAGACAGCTACATTAGAGACTCATCTGTGCCTTCAAGATGCTTAGGGTCAGCTGGAAGAGACCTCACATGGACAGCACGCTGCATGTTGTACCAGGGGCATGAAGAAGAGGGATGATCTTGCAGAGGTGAAAACAAACAGCTGAGCGGGGGAAGGACTAGCCTATGAACAGGTGTGGCAATGAGGAAGTGCCGTGCAGAGGCTTGGGGACATCTGACCTCCTGTCATCCATCTGTCGTATTTTCCAAACTGCTCGAAGTAGCTGCCTGAAAGTCAATGAACATTAAAGCCTTCATCCCCCATACTTTTTCAAGCAATGGTAAATATTCCAAATGTGGGCATCCTATGTCAGCTTGGTGCCCCATTGGGCCCCATTGGCCAGGCAGGTAGGACGAATGAACGGCCCAGTGGGAAGGCAAGCCCGGGAGAGTGAGCCAGGTGGAAAGGAGCATTTCAGATGCAGTCTCTATTCCATTCCCAGAATCCACAAAATACTCAGTGGGCCCTCTCTGGTCGCTTCTTGTCCCATTGTCTCAGCTCACTGTCCTCAACAGGCCAAAACAGCTCTGCTGAGTCAAAGCAGTGCCCAGAACTGGGTGATGGATGCCAGGCAGCAGCCAGGTCCTCTTTGCTCCAGGATTCAGATGACATTAGGTGCTGTGGCTGGCCCGTGTCCTCCCCTCTCTCCCCTGCAATCACATACCACAGAGCACAGTATTAATGCCCACGTCAGAGATGGGCTGTCCCACAGGACCAGCTCTATGACATGCAAGTTACTCAGCTTTTCTGAGCCTGAACTGCCTCATCTCTAAAATGGGTATATTGTAAACACTAAAGAAACTCACCTGTGAAAAGCACTCTCCATTCTCTGAATGGCCATTGTCACTCACCAGGCCCCTGAGTTATCACCCAAGATGTGATAACTAAGTGTGATCCCACCTTCTCCCACCCAGAGGGAGAGGGGATCTTTCCATAAACCAGGTGGCCCACTTGTTTTCAGTCTGGCAAAACCAGCTGAGTTAGGAGGAAGAGGAGGAAGACATTGTCCCTGAAGCTCTGGACTGAAGTCTAGCTGTTAACATTTTCATTCACCACCAAAAACAAAATGGTGGCTGGGCACCCAAGCCACGGTCTTTGGAAATATCTGCTCCTTGGGGCCTTGGACCACCCCAATCACCACCTTCCCTCAGCCCAGTTCTCTGAACCTCATGGTCAGGAAGGTGCTTTCTTTACATGGCTCTCCCAAGAGCCAGTGGCCCCCTGCTCAGCCCTGCCCTTGCCCTCTTAGGATGGTGCACCGTGGTGTTTAAGGCACCGCTACAAGGCAGCTCTGTGTCCTCACTTTGAAACCTCATGTTAGAGGGCCACAGTGGTCACTTGCCATTTGGGGTTCCTCCAGGTGAGAGGGAAGGCCGGGGTGATCACATTGACTAGCGGCTTTGATTCCCCTGGACTGGAATGTGTGAGCACATTACTGAGTAAGCCACAGAAACAGAAGGTGCTGTCAGAGCAGTGGCTTAGGAGACAAGCAGGCGAGTTCTCGTGCGTGATCCGTCCTGCAGGACGTGCGCTTGTGATGAATGCAGACGCAGTAGTGAACCTGAATTTGATTGACTGTGTTATTCACAGGATTGACAGCTTCCTTCCTGGCCTCCAACCTGCCAGTGATGAGCCTGTGTTGTCTGAATTATATTCTTGGCATCTGCCGTCAAAACAGACTGCAGCCAGGGAACCCAGAAGTCTCCCTCGATTAGGCAAGCACAGGCCTAACTGATTGGTGTTGTCGGAAACCCGTGATGAACTGATAGGATCAGAGACCCACGTCAGACAGTTTAAAAAGCCATGAGGGGAAGAGAGAGAGGGAGAAAGAAAAAGATTTTGTATGAGGTGCTCTCTTCAAGTTCTCTTTCCTGAGTCTCCCAGGCAGGATTTTGCAGTGTGGATCTGATAGTGTACCCTGACTTCACTTCTCTCCTCCTCCTGAAGAATGACTTTTGCTTTATTAAGAGTTAAGAAAGAAGAAAAAAAAATATGACAGACACCAGTGTGGCCTGCAAAGCCTTATATATTTCCTCTCTGGTACTTTTCAGAGAGGTCTGCAGAGCCCCGATCTGTGTCCAGTACTGAGGTTTTGTTTGTGGAATGAACTGATGACTTAGGGCAGTGATCCTCAAACCCAAGCATGCACCATAATCAACTGGCGCACGTGTTAAAATGCAGATTGCTGGGCTCACCCATGGTTTCTGATTCTGTAGGCATGGGGAGAATGTGCATTTCTAACATGGGGGGCCCACATGATGCAGATGCTGCTGGTCCAGATGCCAGGTTGGCCTTAGGGATTTACCAAGAGTGTCATTCTGTGGTCAGAACATAGTTAAATACATAGGTAAGACCTGAAGGGTTTCTACAAGAGGCTCATTTTAACTAATCAGTGAGATATTTTCTAATGGCGCAGAAACCCTGGGTATAAACCTTATCCCAGCACACGATTTCTAATTAGCAGTGAACTCATCCACCCACAGTCCATGATTGCTGACATCGGTGCTCTGTTTATTTCAAGGACATGCTGAATCCAGGAGTGGTGGTGTTTGTGTAGCAGAGAGACCTATTGGGCATTTTCCAATCTCTCTCGGAAAAGAATGACTGAAACCTTAGCGGCTGTATAGCACTGGGCATGTTATATTTAACCTCTCTGAAGTTTCCTCACCTGAACTGGAGGGACAATAGAAGTACCTACTGCTATGGTTTGGCTGTGTCCCCACCCAAATCTCATTTTGAATTGTAGCTCCCATAATTCCCCTGTGTCGTGGGAGGGACTGGTGGGAGGTAGTTTGAATCATGGGAGCAGGTCTTTCCCGTGCTGTTCTCACAATAGCGAATACGTCTCCCGGGATCTGATGGTTTTATAAAGGGGGGTTCCTCTGCACATGATCTCTTGCCTGCTGTCATGTAAGACATGCCTTGCTTCCCCTTCACCCTCCACCATGATTGTGAGATCTCCCCAGCCATATGGAACTGTAAGTCCATTAAACCCCTTTCCTTTATAAATTACCCGGTCTCAGGTAGTATCTTTTCAGCCACATGAGAATGGACTAATACACCTACATGATAGGGTTATTGTGAGTACAAACTGAGTAAATATTTGTAAGGAGTTTAGAATAGAGACTGCACATGGTAAGTGCAAGTGCTGTGTATGTGTTAATTAAATACACTTTTGCATGCTGAGTGTCCCTGAGAATGGCAGGGTAAGTAAGAAAAACAGGCTCATGAAAACACAAACAGAACCAGAAAATAAGATGTGTTATCCTCCCTGGACACCACCTTTCGGTTCATAACTTCCTTCCCTCCAGGTTAAACTCGTTAGCATTGATGCCGCAGAAATAGCAGATGGCAACCCTTCTTTGGTTCTTGGGCTGATATGGAACATAATCCTCTTCTTCCAGGTAAGAGCATTTCCATAGTCATGATCTTGTGTCTGCTGAGCAGCGGCAGAAGAGAGTGGGGCCAGATCAGGGGAGGCAGTGAGGTTTAGTTTATGGCAGATTTTATCTTTTCTACTCACTGAAAAAGCACTAGAAGAATCTCGTTGCTAAAGTGTTTGAGTCCCTGTGATTTTAAAAGTGGTGTGAGTTCTCTAGAAGAGAACATCCATCCTCTTGGGACTGGAAGACATAACTTTGTTCTAAAGTATCACGAGAACTGGAGAAATACTCCTGACCAAAAATGGACCTTGGTAGAGTTACTTTCCTGTAGTCACTCAGTGCTCCTTAGAGATGATGGAAGAGCTGGCACTAAAGCTGACTGAGGACGAAGGCAGGCAAGGTCTTATTGCTCTATTCTCTGCAACTTCAGCCTATAACTGGAAATGCACATTTCATAGAGGAAGAACTGGGTCTGTGGTTGGAGTAGGAAGATGTCGTTTTAAATTGAGCTCAAGTTCGTTTCCCTGTCAGGAGGACAGAGCTGGTATCTCATTTTCTAAAGCCCACTCTATTTAGCAACAGAAACTCACGGTTCACTGTTTGATTACCCTCCCAAGAGTGAAAGTGACCCACACAGGCATGATTTACTTGGGATTTTGCCTGCATTTCATAGAATCCTGAGCACACACAAGGTCTGGAGACAATAGTTCCTGTTCCGGGTGAACCCTGAACTTAAAAAAAAAAAAAAAAAAGACTGTCTCTCTGTTTCCGTTTCCATGTCTATGAAATGGGAGCAGTGGTCATAATATGCAGTGAGCGTCAGGAGAAGCTATGTGGGCTGGGCACAGTGGCTCATGCCTATGATCCCAGAACTTTGAGAGGCCATGGCAGCAGGGTCACTTGAGCCCAGGAGTTTGACATCAGCCCTGGAAACAGCAAGACCCCGTCTCTATAAAAATTAAATAAAATTAGCCGGGCATATTGGTGTGTGCCTATAGTCCCTGCTACTTGGAAGGCTAAGTTTGGAGGATTGCTTGAGCCTGAGAGTTCAGGGCTATATTGAGACATAATCTTGCCACTACACTCCCGCCTGGGCGACAGAATGAGATCCTGTCTTAAAAAAAAAAAAGAAGCCGCCTCCATGTGTTATATATATATATGCTTCAATTACTGCTACCTGTTATTAGACTTCCTCGGAGATTCTGGAAACATCCTAAAGATGTGTTAAAAGACTGGGGAGTGGAGTCAGAAAATCTCCCTGGAAAAAGTGACACCGGAGCTGGGTTTTGAAGGATGAGTAGGATAGGAATGCACTAGACCTCCTACTCACCCTTCAAACTAAGTTAGATTTAACCTACCATGTGTGTGAATTGCCTGAGGATGGTATTGAAACAGATTCTGATTCCAGTAGCTCTGGGGTAGAGCCTAGGGTTCTGCATATCTTACAGAAGTCTTCAAGAGAGGAGTTCACTGATGGAGGGAAGGGACATCGAGGCAGCAAGGGCAGGATGAGCAGAGGTAGTGGGACTTGAAAGAGCGCAGTGAAGTCTGGGATTGATGGGTGGTGAGAGGACAGGGTGGTGGAGTCAGGTCAGGAAGACCTTGTGTGAAGTGGTGGCTGGAGCTGGAAAGACTTCAGGAAAAGGTGGTCCTCCCTGTAGAGTGTAATTACGTGTACCACAAGCCACATGGAACGGTCATGCCATCGCAAGTACTGCCTGTCCCCTGCCACAGCCATCAGAAAGGGTTTCTCTGCATTCAGAGAACCAATTCTGCCTGAGCTGGTCCTTCCAGCCATGGTCCAAGTGGCCACCAGCCTGACAAGTGGCTTGCTGGGAGGGTGGGTCTGTTGCTGGGGTCTGAAATGCCATTTTCCTTCCAGATTAAGGAGCTCACAGGCAACCTCAGCAGAAACTCTCCATCTTCCAGCCTCTCCCCCGGCTCAGGGGGCACAGACTCAGACTCATCCTTCCCACCCACGCCCACCACAGAGAGAGAGAGGAGCGTGGCCATATCGGTGAAAGACCAGAGGAAGGCCATCAAGGCCCTGTTGGCCTGGGTGCAGAGAAAAACGAGAAAGTAAGCCGCAGCCCCCCTCCCCACTCCATTTAATTAGCTGCTTTCAGGCAGAGGAGAAGAGAATTAGTATTTATTAAGGTGCCAGTTATGTATGTGCCCGTTGCTTCCTATAGAACATCAGAACAGGAAGCACTGCATTTTTTCTGGTTTTTCAGTACACACAAAATGCAGTGTGCAGAATGTTTGGTTTGCACAAAGCTGATGAGAAGATTTGAATACAGGTCAGAGGGGCTTTCATCATGCTGTTTCCCAAAATGCGCCTGTCTCTTGGATTCTACTAACTTGTATGCATTTAAGCTTCAGGGTATCTTCCAGAGTCTGTACCTACTTTAAAAATAGTAATAATGGGCCTGTCACAGTGGCTCACACCTGTAATCCCAGCACTTTGGGAGGCTGAGGCAGATGGGTCACCTGAGGTTGGGAGTTCAAGACCAGCCTGACAACATGGAGAAACCTTGTCTCTACTAAAAATACAAAAATTAGCCGGGAGTAGTGGCACATCCCTGTAATCCCAGCTGCTCAGGAGGATAAGGCAGGAGAATCGGTTAAACCCGGGAGGCAGAGACTGCAGTGAGCTGAGATTACGCCATTGCACTCCAGCCTGGGGGAAAAAAAAATGGTAATAATAAAGGCTGTAAGATCTGATCTTCCAAAATTGAGACGGGTGAACTGGAGCAAAGTTCTGGCTCTGTTTCACCCTATACCAGCAGCTGAGTGATTTTAGCCATTTTGTATCAGGCCTTTTTACCAGAAGCAGGCCCACAGCCCCTGGGCCATGGGCCCACATGCCAGGCCAGTGTGGTGGAAACCAGACCCACATGGGGCTGCCCCAGCTTCTCAGCGTACAGACTGGTTGAGAACCTGGTGAATCATTTACCTTTCCAAGCCCCAACTGCAAATGGTAACCTATCACTCACTGCCTTCCAGGACAGTTAGGCGAAGTGGAATAAAATCCATGAAAGCACCTTGCACAGTGCCAGCCCATATTAAGCACTTCACAGATATTGATTCCTTCCTCCCCTGTGTGTGGAAATAAAAGGGGGAAGAGAGTTTGGATCTTTAGAGTTTTGATTGAGAGATCAAGCATGGTAGACTGAAATTGACAAATTTAAACTATTAAATGTTGTTTACATACAAATCAACCAAAAACAGTTCATTGCCAGGAGTTAGGGTAGAGGGAGGGTGTGACCGTGAGGGAGTGAAGTGTCTTGGGGTGATAGGACAGTTCTGTTTCTCTGTTGTGGTGGTTACATGAATCCGTGCACCACCCCCATGAAAACATGAAATTCAAATGCAGCCTTAGCTTACTCAATAGTTGTCTTGGACCAGTGTTGGTGTTCTGGTTTGGATGACACACCCTGGTAGCATACGATGCTGTCACTGGAGGAAGCAGGGGAAAGAACAGGGACTCTGTACTGTGTTTGCAACTTCTCTTGGGTCTTCAATGATTTCTAAATAAAAAGATGTTTGGGATTTTTGTTTCCTGGTTTTTTACGAGAGTTCATTGACCACAGTTGAGAGATTGGTGGAGTCTCAGGATGGATTCTAAAGGAAATCAGTGTCTGGCAGGAGACTCTCCTCTTTTGTTCTTCACTTTTACTTTTAAAAGTTTAGGTGGCCTCCATTGAACAAAATAGAATGAAAGCTCATCTGCCCCTCGCTTACACAATGATGCTTGTATTTCTATTACTGATAACAGCGGCTGTCATTTAGTGAGTGGCTTTCGTGGGCTCCCAACGTTGTGTATTAGGTTGACCCTATGACATGGCCCTTCTGGGGCCAGGTTCGGCTTTCCCCACAGAAGCCCCAGCAAGTTCACTGTGTGGAGTTTGAGGCTCAGAGAGGTAGGTGACTTGCCCAAGGCCACGGCACTAGAAGCATAGAGGGGACAGCTGAAGTACAAACTTGTGTCTTTCTGGCTCCATTTATGTGGCACCACACATTCTTGTTGTTTTCAACGTCACTGATACAAGGAATGGTCTATACAGTTGGTCCTTTACATGTCTGGAAATGGGGGAACCCAGGGTCGTATTTTGCCTCTTGGTGTAATGTATACCTTCCTATTTCATTTGGCTGGAAATGGAAATGTGTGTGGTTCAGGGCAGCTCTCCCACGCTCAGGGACCAAGGCATCTTCACCTGGTGAAGGTGGCAGCTCTGCCCCACTCAGAAACCGACGCGGCTGCTGCATGCTGACCTTGCACCTGTGAGTTTGTTTACTCACCTGCATCCTGGCCACCGCTGCTGTTTTTCCTTCAGGTATGGCGTGGCAGTGCAGGACTTTGCGGGCAGCTGGAGGAGTGGACTGGCTTTCCTGGCAGTGATCAAGGCCATTGACCCCAGCCTGGTGGACATGAAACAGGCCCTGGAAAATTCGGCACGAGAAAATCTCGAGAAGGCTTTCAGCATCGCACAGGATGCCTTGCACATCCCCAGGCTCCTGGAGCCAGAAGGTAGCAGTGGTCCTCTCTCTTTCTTTCCAATCATTTTTATTACACATACACCACTTGCTGTTTCATGTAGAAAATTTGGGAAATACAGAGAAATCTAATGAAGGAGATTTTGTCTCCTGTATTTCTACCACTCAGATCATATGGCTATTTTGTCAATATTTTATATCTATCTGATTATATTTTTACATAATTGGCATCATTCACTGCCTGTATAATTTTACACTTTTTTGCTTAACATTGTGTCATAAGTATTTTACATACTACTAAATGTATTATTATATATTTTTATTGGCTGCATAATAGTTCATACTAAAATGTATTTAGCAGCCAGTCATGGTGGCTCATGCCTGTAATCCCAGCACTTTGGGAGGCCAAGGTGGGTAGAACACCTGAGGTCAGGAGTTTGAGACCAGCCTGACCAACATGGCGAAACCCCATCTCTACTAATAATACAAAAATTAGCCAGGTTTGGTGTCACAGTCTGTAATCCCAGCTACTCGGGAGGCTGAGGCAGGTGAATTGCTTGAACCCGGGAGGCAGAGGTTGCAGTGAGCTGAGATTGTGCCACTGAACACTAGCCTGGGCAACAGAGCCAGACTCTATCTCAAAAAAAAAAAAAAAAATGTACTTAACTCTTCTGCTACTGGTAGACATTGAGGTGGTTTCTGAAATATTTCCTTTTATATGTAACACTGCAGTGAACATCTTAATAAGGCTCAGCATGCATCCCAGATTATTTTCTTAAGGACCAGATTTCATTAGCAGAATGACAGAGGAGGAGAGTCCACTCCTGTTTAAAAGGTTTGGCTATCTCTGTCAAGTTGCCTTCCACGTGAGTCAGGCTAACATAGGACTCCTGGTACCATATGTAGGCTGCCTGGTTCACCATCCTTGCCCATGGAACCAGCAGTGAGCTGGTTGCTCACTGTGGCAGGGACTAAAACAGCAAGGAAGAAGGGACAGAATTTTGGGAATAAGAAGTCCTAGATTCTATATCCTTGCTTTTCTGTTCATCTGCCAGCTGTGAGATTTCAAATGATTCATCCTGTTTGAGCCCAAAGTTCCTCAAGTGAAAAATAAAGAGAAAAAACCGTCAATGATGTGTGGGTTTCTTCACCATTAGACATGCAGGGAAATTATTGGAAACGTGTGTGTCAGTATCTCTGCTAATCCCTGTGTCTCTCTTGACAGACATCATGGTTGACACACCGGACGAGCAGTCTATCATGACTTACGTGGCACAGTTTCTAGAACGTTTTCCGGAGTTGGAAGCTGTATGTTTGCTTTTCTTACCTTTAATTCAGAAACCGTACATTTCCATTTGCTGGCCCTCAGACGAAGCAGGGACTTGGGCAGCACTGGTCTCTGTAACTAGCAGTCATAATCGCCAGTTGCTCTCATGTCCCTTGAACGTGTCCTTACCACATTTTAACTTCAGAAGGATAGTAGTCCCCCCTCATATGCAGGGGATACAGTTCAAGACCCCCAGTTGATGCTTGAAAACTTGGATAATACCAAACCTTATATATACCATTTTTTTCCTATATATACGCACCTATGATAAAGTTTAATTTATAAATTTGGCACAGAAAGGTATTCACAACAACTAATAGTTACATAGAACAGTTATAACCATGGGCCAACATTATTACTTTTGCACTTTGGGGCCATTATTAAGTAAAATAAGGGTTACGTGAACACAAGCACTTCGATATCATGACGGCTGATCTCTGATCATCCAGACAGCTACTGACTGAGTGTAGATGGCGTGGATGTGCTAGACAAAGGAATGAGTCAAGGCCCAGGCAGGACCGAGCAGGAAGTGAGAGATTTCATCCCACTACTCAGAACAGCATGCCATTTGAAACTTAGGAATTATTTCTGGAATTTCCATTTAATATTTTCAGACCACAGTTGACCGTGGGTGACTGAAGCCTTGGAAAGCAAAACCTCAGATAAGGAGGGAACTACTATATATGTAACATGCATTAAGTTTCAAAGCAGGATGGAAATTGATGCCTCTCACAAATGTCTTTCCATGACAAACTTTTTATTAAGATTATAAAAGATGCTCACTTACACAAAGGATCTGCTTCTTGATTTTTCAGATGTCAGATGGAACATCTTAGCATCTACCAGATTTTTATCAGTGTTAAAAATCATAAAAGACACTGATCATTGAAAAGCCTGCCTTTTTATTTTCAGAATTCCAGCTTATACTTAGTGACAGATGTTTTGGGGGGCACAGAATCAGACCTTTTAGAAGCTGTCCTGGCCCCACTGAACTCCCACCCAACCCATGCGCAGCTCTGAAATGGTAATAATAATGACAGCTATGACAGACTCTTCTTGAATCCATTAGTAATTGACGAACCCCTGCCCCTGGCTTAGGGAACTCAAAAATAAACTAGATGGCTGAGGTCCCTGGCCTTGAGGAGCTTTGTTCTAATAAAGGAAACAGTCACAAGTCAGGAAAAATATAACTTCGGGTAGTTAGAAGTACCAGACAGAAAAAAAGAAAGCATAAAGAATTAAAGGACGCTTGCAGGAGAGGAGGGCTGCTTTCCTAGCTGGCTGCCTTGCCCCTGTGTCTCTGGGCTGCCTGCCATTCCTACAGTCCAGCATGGCTCAGTATCATAATCCTCTTTTTATAGATGAAAATGAGGGTCTCAAAGAGGCTTAAAGATCTCTCCACAGTCACTCAGCTACCAAGAACAGAGCTGGGGTTTGGCCCTTCTGTGGTTCCAAGGTTTAGGCTCTTGGTTCACTTACAACATGCAGCTGAAACTGGGGCTCCGTTTGGTACAGGAGAGTTTCCCAGGATCCTCCGTGCCGTGACTTTCATCCTGGCCCCCACCTGTGTGTGTTGACTGCTGGTCCCTGCACCATATATGGACCCCTTACAGGGCACTTTGGAAGCAGCGATTTCTGGGCTGGAAGGCCAGTTCTCCACTTGGAGCTGTGTGAGTTCAGGCTGGTGACTTGACTTCTCTGATACACATCCGTATTGAATATGTGTCATCTGCAAGATGGAAATATGACCACATTTCAAGGTTATGTGAAGAATAAACAGTTATGTGAAGTACCTAGTACTGTGCCTGGAACAACAGTGGATGTTTGGCAAATAATGATGACTTGGTCAGTGGGTATAAAGTTACAGTTACATAGGGGGAATCAGGTCTGGTGTTCTATTGCACAGCAAGATGACTGTAGTTAATAATGTAAACAGTGGCTCATGTCTATAATCCCAACACTTTGGGAGGCTGAAGCAGGAGGATTGCTTGAGCCCAGGGGTGAAAGACCAGCCTGGGCAACAAGGCAAGACCCCATCTCTACAAGAAAGAAAGAATAATGCACTGTGTATTTCAAGAGAAGATTTTAACTGTTTCACTACAAAGAAATGATAAATATTTGAAGGGACGAGTATATTGATTTCTCGGATTTGATGATTTTACAATGTATACATGTTTTAAAACATCACATTATACTCCATACATGTATACAAGTATTATTTGTCAACTAAAAAGTTAAACATAGAAGAAAGGGATCTAGCTCTGAGAATAAACGTAGAAGAAAGGGATCTAGCCTTGCGAATACCTTGATTTTAATCCATTGAGACCTGTTTTGGATTTCCGATGTCCAGAACCATAACAAATTTTTGTTGTTTTAAGCAAAAAAAAAAAAAAAAAAAAAAGAAAACGGAAAAAAAAGTAGTGCTTATTATTTTGCATTTCAGTTTTTGTGGCCTGTTACTGAGTTTTGAAATATCAGCCATCGGGGCTTTCATTAGCCCTGAGCTCTTAATCTGTAGGCGGAGTTTGAAATCAACTAAAACATACAGTATTTGCCTGAGTCAAAGCCACAGCTAGGATTCAGCAAATCTGACAGAGATCTCCCCAATGCTGAGGTCAGAAACTGTGGGCGGGAAAAGATTGAGCCAGAAATAATACCTGGAGAAAGTCATCCTGGTTCACAGAACGTGGTGCATCACTGCAGAACAATCGTATTTGCATCTCCAAGGGAATGCAGATGAGAATTCACAGCTTATCCAGAACTAACAATTCTGCTGAGTTAGTTCATTTCAGGAAACATTTGTGGGGCCCTGACCATGTACCAGACATTGTTATTAGCTTTATGGCCCAGCACATGGTTTCTTTTGGTAAATGTGCCATATGCATTTGAAAAGGAAGTCTCTTATGCACTTAAATAATTGGTATTGTTTAATATGCTGTCAATATGTGAATATGCTATTCTAATAGTCTATATTTATACTGATTTCTTCTGCTTTCCTGTTCAATTAATATAGGAGAGAAATGTTAAAAAAAAAAACTATGATTGTGAATTTATTTCTCCTCTTAGTTCTGACAGTTTTGTTTTATACATGTTGATGCTATGCTGTTAAATGCATAGACACTTATGATTTATTATATCTTCCTGATGACTTGCTTTATTTTTATGAAATTTCTCTCTGTCTTGAAGTATGCTTTGTTTGATATGAATATAGCCATAGCAGCTTTATTTTCATTTTTTTAATTTTAATTTTATTTTATTTGAGTGTCTTGCATTAGAAAGCAGCTTTCTTATGATTAGTGTTTGTGTGATATCTTTTTTCCTTTCTGTGTATGTATACTTATATTTAAAGTATGTCTCTTGTAAGCAGTATACAGTTGGATCTTGTTTTGTATTCATTCTGGCAAGCTCTGTCATTTAATCTGTGTTTTTCATATGTTTATATAGGTTTAATCTACCATCTTGGTTATTGTTTTCCATTGGTCTGATTTGCTCTATGCTCCATTGTTCTTCCTTCTTAACTTTTTTTGGATTATTCAAGAATTTTTTTAGTGTGCGTTTATCTCCTTTATTGGTTTTTTAACCACATCACCTTGTTATACCTTTTTTGTAGCTGTTCTAGTGATAATACTCATCTTTAACATGTATCAGCTTACCTTGAATTAACATACTACCTTGATATTTAAAGATTCATTATGGATTAAAATCAGTACATATTTTATATGTGTCACATACACAATTTTACTCACCTCATCTCCATTTCTTTTGCTACCATGTTGTCATTTACTTTACGTCTACATGTTTTAATCCTCAATATCTAGTTACTATTTTTTTTGCTTTAAATAGCTAGTCAGCTTTTTCAGAAAACTTTGAAGTAGTTTTTTATATTGACCATATATTTACCATTTGAAGTACTGTTCATTCCTTCCTTTAGGCTTTATGTCCGAGATTGTGTTCTTTGAGCCTGAAGAACTATTACTTTGTATTTCTTATAGTACAGATTAGTTATTCTAGAGTCTTTGCTTGCAAATTCTAACTTGGGATCATACGTGGGACTAGTTCTAATGATTGTTTTTTCTCTTGATTATGGATTTTGTTTTCCTGCCTCTTCATGTCTTGTAATTATTTTATGTCAAACTTGGGATATAAAAGAACAATAGATGTTGAAGTAGATGTCATTTTTTCCCTCAGGAAATATAGCCCTTTCCCAAACAAGTGCATAAGATGAGGAGCTGTTGTTTCGATCATTTCAGAGTTGATAGGAGCTATGTTGCATTTTTATTTAATTTCTTCTCTCTGGTTTTAAATGATTTGAGGCTGCAGTCAATTCACTCTATCAGTGAATTGGGAGCCAATCACTGCAGTACCTCAAGTCATTTTCTGCTTTTTAGCCCTGCCCCCAGCTGGCTCTTATACAGCATAATTCCCCATGTGGGCTAATTAGTATATGACGAGAATTGTTTTTGTATTTGGAGCCCTTCCAGATCCAGTCTCTCATACTAGCCCATACAATCAATATAGATTTGGCTGACCTTGCCTTATCTTGGGTGGATTAGCTCTTCTCCAAGTCCATACCCAGACCAGACAGCATAGTCCTCAAGTATGAAGTGGCTGACAATCTCTGCTCACTTTCGAAGAGATTGTCCTTCTTTAGAGCTTGGTTTATTGAGATTCCTTACATCCATAGCTTTTAAAAAACACATCTTACATTTTTATTTATCTGATACTTTCTATTTCAGCAGGAATGAAAGTCTTCTCTAACCATTTACATCTTAATCAGAACACTTTGCATTAGTTTTGAAGTGGCTTTTTCTATTTTTGTTTGTGTTTTGAGAGAGGTAGATATAGGTTGTGTACTTAAACCCTCTTCTTATTCATGTTGCTGCTTTTTTGTTCTTTTTTGTGTGTAGGAAGATATTTTCGACTCAGATAAAGAAGTTCCTATCGAATCCACTTTTGTTCGTATCAAAGAAACTCCTTCTGAACAGGAGAGCAAAATCTTCATTCTGAATGAAAATGGGGAGCACACCTACACTATTAACCATGAAACCAGCCACCCACCACCCTCCAAAGTCTTTGTCTGTGACAAGCCTGAGAGCATGAAGGAATTCCACCTGGATGGTATTTCCAGCCATGCACTGTCAGACAGTTCCACTGAGTTCATGCACCAGATCATCGACCGGGTCCTGCAAGGGGGCCCAGGTGACACCAGTGACATCAGTGAGCCATCTCCAGAAACCTCCATTTTATCATCCAGAAAGGAGAGCCAGAGGTCCAACTCTTTGCCAATCAAGAAAACAGTTCACTTTGAGGCTGACACCTGCAAGGATGCGTCCTGCAGTAAGGACCTGTCCCTTCACCTTGAAGGGAGCCCGAGAGTGGCAAAGGAACCACTGATGGAGGATGGACGCATCTTGGCAGTTGAGGTTGCTGAGGAAAAGGAATGGAAACAGGAATCCTCGAAGATTCCAGAATCCTTCTCTGACAAGGTCCCTGGTGATGTTTTTTTTGCGGAGGGCACGATCAATAATTCTCAGTCTTCTTCTTCCTATAATGGTGCTTTAGAGAGTACAGCCAGCCAGGATGAAGAAAGTCAGTCTCTTTCACCCCTGGGAGAGAATACTGCGATGGCCAGTTCCGTGGAGATCAAGGTTAATCTGATGACTGTAGAACCTCTGGATGAGGGAGACTATTTTGAAGCCATCCCATTAAAAGCCTCAAAATTTATCAGTGACCTAATAGATTTGGCTTCTACCAGCCAGGCTTTCAACAAAGTTCCTTCACCTCATGAGACAAAACCTGATGAGGATGATGAGGCTTTTGAGAATCATGCTGAAAAACTCGGTAAAAGGAGTACTAAATCTTCTCACAAACAGAAAGATTCGCCAGAGCCTCAAGTTAAGTCTGACAAACATGAAGCTCACCAGGACTCCGGAGAAGAAGCTGAAGGCTGTCCTTCAGCCCAGGAAGAGACACCAACAGATAAAAAGCCAGAGGTACATGAGAAGGCCAAGAGAAAGTCCATCCATCCTCATCATGAGGAAGAGGGAGAAGACGATGACCTCGAGGGTGTGGGCGAGGAATTATCTTCCAGCCCCCCAGGCAGCAGTGTCAGCTTGGAGACCCTTCAGAACCACAGCGAAGAAGGCCTGGATTTCAAGCCCTCTCCACCCGTCTCAAAGGTTTCCGTCATTCCCCATGACCTCTTCTATTTCCCGCACTACGAGGTTCCCCTGGCTGCAGTTTTGGAGGCTTATGCAGAAGACCCAGAGGATCTAAAAAATGAAAAAATGGATCTCGAAGGTCCAGAGGGTTGTATGCAAGACCTGGACTCCAGGGAGGAGGAGGCTGATGGCTCTCAGAGCAGCTGCAGTTCTTCGGCACCAGGCGAGTGCCTCCCCAGTGCCAGCGACCAGGTGCTATATCTCAACAGGGATGGTGGGAGTACCACACCAGCCTCAGAACCTGCTCCTCTGGCCCCCCATGACGACCACCAACAAAGGGAGACCAAAGAGAGTGACCCCATGGACAGCCACCAGGTACTTGACCATGGGATTTGGGAACCCAGGGTCCTGCCCAGGAGACTTGGCAGTTCTTTGTCTAAAGCTCAGCTTCTTGCTCTATAAAATAGCGATGAGGGGGCTTCCCATGGGACTCCCACAGTAAAAAATTTGAAGAGGCATCTACTGTGAGGCTCAGGCAAATACAGGGTTGGCACCCAAGGGTGAGCACCTCCTGAAATCCTGCACTGGGCACCTCACTGGCTTTCCCCCAGGCCTGGCCCAACTCACAGGGATGCTCTGAGGATCAAGTGAGGTCACCTTTGAGGGTCCAGCAGAGTGGGAGCAGAAATGATTCCAAAAGCAGTCATTGTCACAGGGCAAGTGTTGACAACCTCGTTGTGTACTATGCTCCATGCTGGGCGGTGGGATCAGAAGAGTGCATCTCCCCTTATCCTGTTTACACACCTGTTTCTAACACAGAAATCAGACTAGTGCCCAACAGGCAAAAATTCTTTAAAAATTGAAAAAGCTCACCATCACCGATCATTAGAGAAATGCAAATCAAAAGCACAGTGAGATTCCATCTGATGCCAGTCAGAATAGTGATTATTAAAAAGTCAGGAAACAATAGATGCTGGTGAGGCTGTGGAGAAATAGAAGCACTTTTACACCATTGGTGGGATTGTAAATTAGTTCAACCGTTGTGGAAAACAGTGTGGTGATTCCTCAATCTGATTTCAGAACCAGAACTACCACTTGACCCAGCAATCCCATTACTAGGTATATACCCAGAGGAATATAAATCATTCATCTATAAAGACACAGGCACACATATGTTTATTGCAGCACTATTTACAATAGGCAAGACATGTAACCAACCCAAATGCCCATCAATGATAGACTGGATAAAGAAAATGTAGAACATGTACACCATGGAGTACAGTGCAGCCATAAAAAGTAATGAGTTCATACCCTTTGCAGGGACATGGATGAAGCTGGAAGCCATCATTCTTAGCAAACTAACAGAGGAACAGAAAACCAAACAGCACATGTTCTCACTCATAAGTGGGAGTTGAACAATGAGAACACATGGACATAGGGAAGGGAACATCGCGCACCAGGAACATAAGTTCCTGTATCCCAGAACTTAAAGTAAAATAAAATTTAAAAAAACTAAAACTCAAAAAGGAAAAAAGCCAATAAAGGAAGACAGAAACAAAAAGTCCTTTAAAAATCAAGGCTGCAGGCCAGATGCAATGGCTCACACCTGTCATCCCAGCACTTTGGGAGACCAAAGCTGGCAGATCACGATGTCAGGATATCGAGGCCATCCTGGTCAACATGGTGAAACCCAGTCTCTACTGAAAATGCAAAAATTAGCCAGGCGTGGTGGCATGCCCCTGTAGACCCAGCTACTCAGGAGGCTGAGGCAGGAGAATCACTTGAACCCAGAAGCGGAGGCTGCAGTGAGCCGAGATTGCTCTACTGCACCCCAGCCTGGGTGGCAGAGCGAGACTCTGTCTCAAAAAAAAAAAAAAAAAAATTAAGGCTGGAGTCAGCCTTCATGACCCCATCGCCCTGGTACTGAGAATAGTGTATTAACGGCTGGGCCTGCAGCCAGGGGAACCTCACAGTGCTGGAAATAAAAGAGGTCGTGGGGAATAATGGAAACCTTTGAGAGGGGTGGGGAGGGCTTGAAATCCAGTCCTTCTTTGCTGTGACTCCCAAGGGTCTCTAGCTGACATGGCTGCTTGGGGTTTGGAAGATAATTATCCCAAGCTTTAGCATCATGCAATATACCCACATAACAAACTTGCACATGTATCCCCGAATCCAAAATACAACTTGAAAAACAAAAAAGGAACAACCACTAACATAGGCATTCGAAAGTTAGAAAAATTAGCTATGGTAGCTAACATCTAGCATGAGCTTAGTGAACGCTAGCTGGTTCTTCTGCAGCAACTTGGGAGAAACAGAGGAAGCTTCGTGTTTGACCCGTCTTGATTTTTAAAGGACTTTTGCCTGTTGGGCTCTAATCTTTGGTTTCTGTGGTCTGAAGTGGGTGCATAAACAGGATAAGGGGACACGCACTCTTCTGAGCTTGAGCAGCTGGTCACATTCTTATCTGCCACTTGTGTTCCCACTTCATCTGGCCCAGCAGCTCACGAAGGGCCACTGGAGTGATGGGGGAAGGGGTGCATGGACCTGGCCTGATGGGGAAGTTCCTCCTACAGATGCCACGTTAGTAAGTGCTGCTCCCTGCTGCAGCACTGGGGATCCAGGAGGTGAGACCAGAACCACACTGGCCATGCCCTGCTGGATATAATTCACACAGGGCACCCAGGGCAAGACAGCCAGGGAGGAGAAGGGCCTGGGCTCAGCCTCTCCAGCCTCTCGATGAACTCACCTGCTTACTCATCCAACCCCATGGAAAGCGATGCATTTAGCACTGCCAGGAGGATAAAGAAGGAAAATCCTGCCTTCAGTGTCTAATGCAGGAGACAGAGTCCCCAATAACAGTACTGTGAGAGTATGCGGCCTCAATCATAAGAGATGGGGCCAGGAAAGGGATTCAGGGGTTCAACAGGAAGCTCCCACCCAGATGCAGAAAGGCTACATGGCAGTTTAGGGGTGACTAGAACTGGGGAGGGAATTCTGCGTGGAGGGACTTAGGGTGGAGGTCCTCTAAGCACAGGAGCCAGGTGGGAAAGTGACCAGCCATTTCAGATTGCATTGGCTCTACCTCTACCTCTACCTCAGACCCTTCCCCGTCTCTCACTGTCCCTCCTCCTGGCTCAGCTTGCAGAGGGATGACCTAACACACAAGTCCCATTGTATCACTTCCCGACTCCTGTCTCCAGGATAAAGTCTAAATTTCTTAGCGGGAACTCCAAGACTCCTCTCTCTAACCTGGCCACCCACCCCTCTCTGTCTCCCTCCCCTCCAGCCAAGCCAGCATCCTCCCAGGCTGGAGGCATCCAGGATCTCCTCTGCCTCCAGGCGTGATTGGGTTGGTCCCACCATCTGGGCAAGCAGTTATTCACCCTTCAAAGCCCAATGCAAATGGCACTTCCTCCCAGAAGCCTTCCCACCTCGCCCCTAGGCAGAGCCATGGCTTCCTCCCTATAGCTGGTCATATTTTTGACAATCTGTCCTTGAGTGCTTACTTGATTTCCCTGGGTTTTCTTTTTCTCTCCCGTGGCATTGGTGTATTGATCTTTGTATGCTAGAGACCAGCACGGTGCCTGACAGGGCTTACCAATGTAGGGGACAAAGGTTTATTACACAGTGGTTTTGGGGACATACAGCAAATGTAAGGTAAATGAACCGCTGAGATACATGACAGTGCTCTAGTTCGTCAAGGCCCAGTGAGGGGCCTAAAGGACCAGGGCTGCTTGGAGGATTGAAACAGCCTTGCACCCTGCGGGAGCTAGAGAAAAAGCTGGGGTTGAGGAGCCTTTTTTAAGTTTAATGATAGTTGAGTAGTTGGCATGCATGAGTTGGGTAGAAAGACCTAGAGGATTAGTTGAGCCAATAACGAGAATAAGGGAAATTAATATCAGGGATCACGTTCATCCTAAGACACTTAGGATTTTAGACTGACCAGAGTGGGAGGCTGGTTTTATTCAGTTTGTCAAGCCTGAGCAATGGGGAATGGCTGCCTAAGCCCTAGGAGGAGCAGCATTCTCAGGCTGAGGGCCACGTGGGCGGGACTGTGCACTCCGTGTTTGCCAGCCATGGAATGGTTTTGCAATGAGTGGTTCTGCAAGTGCCAGGGACCTTGCCTGCCATCCTCCCCTGTCCCCCAGGGAGAGGAACCCCGTCCCGAACTGGCTCCCACAGCCTGCTGTGCGCTGACTTCTCTGGAGCCAGCCCCACCGCCCTGCAGCTGCTTCCTGCAGGAGACCATGAAATGTAGCAGGGCTAGAAATATCCTCCAGTGAGATCTGGCCATGTTGTCCCCAGGCCGAGGGGCAACACAGCTGGGGCCACAATCTGTCATGGCCAGAAAGCTCTTTCAGCGCAAAAAGGACTGAGTGGGTGGTGGGGAGAGAGCCTGAGTTGCATCTCAGCCCCTCTGTTCTTTAAAATGATGAATTAGTGGCTTGCATTCTCCCTCCTGGCCTGTTGGATGTGGCCTGTGAAAATACAAAAGTGGCAGTTCGTTCTCGTATGCTTTCCTCCCAGCCATTGCCAAATACACGCGCCAGCACTTGGACAGGTGATTGGTGTGTGGCTGAAAGAGCCCTGGGTTGGAATTGTAGAATCCGGAGATCTAGATTTGAACTCCATCTTACATTGGATCTCACACTCCCTTGGGTGCAGTGTGGGAATGAAATCAACACCGTCTGCCTCACTTGGCTCCCATCTGCTGCCTCACCTGCCCAGTTAGCACCGCCCACTGACCCCGGGCCCACCTTGCAGTTTGCTCCCAAGTGTAGCCCTTGCCTCAGTCCGCGTAGGGACAGGGTACAGCCCATTTGATGAGGAGCCCAAGACCACAGGTGAGGTCTGGGAGTCTTGCCACCTGGCAGACAAGGAGATGGAATGGAGCATTTCTCTGACACCTTGCCTTTCTTTAAAAAAATAAAAAAAATAAGAAAGAGGCTGGGTGAAGTGGCTCATGCCTGTAATCCCTGCACTCTGAGAGACGGAAATGGGTGGATCACCTGAGGTCAGGAGTTCAAGACCAGCCTGGCCAAGGTGGTGAAACCCTGTCTCTACTAAAAATACAAAAATTAGCTGGGCATGGTGGCAGGTGCCTGTAATCCTAGCTACTTGGGAAGCTGAGGCAGAAGAATTGCTTGAACCCAGGAGGCAGAGGTTGCAGTGAGCCAAGATCATGCCACTGCACTCCGGCCTGGAAGACAAGAGCAAGACTCCATCTCAAAAGAAAAAAAAAAAAGAAAGATGTTTTCCCAACCAAAGAGACTAGAAAATGGCAAGTTTTTCTTCTGGTCTTGAAAAAATAAATAAGCCCTCTGCTAATTTCACCTTTCAGAAATGGTAGCATTTGACTGTTGATGAGGGCAGCGGGTGAGACTGTCATTTCAGATTGCTGAGTGCAGTTTTTCATTCCTGCCTAGAGCTTTGTTCTCCTGGGGCACAATGGCCCGGCCACTTTAATGCTCTTACTCCGACACTTGTTGAACAGGTTCTTTCAGCCCCTAAAAGAATTCCTGAGAGGTGGCTCCAACAATGATTAGGCTCCTGCATTTCACTCAGAAACCATGTTGATGGGTTTCAGAGTGCCTGGTGCAGACAGAGGTCAAAGAATCTTCATTATCAAATAAATGCTAGACATGCTGCCCTACCATCCACCTTTAGCCAAAAGCACAGTGAAGATGGCATCCTGGAAACTCTACACCTGCCTTTGTGTGTGACTCTATAAACCCATGGGCCACCTTTGTACCCCTTGGCCCACCTAGCTGCCAGGATGGATTTAAGTGGATGATAGTTGTGAAATATTCAACCACAGCTCACTGTAAGAGCCCTTTTCCTCCTCCCTCCCTCCCTCCCCCATTCCTTCCTTCCTTCCGCTTTCTTTTTTTCTTTCTTTCTTTCCTTCTTCTTCCTCCTCTCCTTTTTTCTTCTCCTTTTTTTTTTTCTAGACAGAGTCTTGCTTAGTCAACCAGGCTGGAGTGCAATGGCAAAATCTCACTGCAACCTCCGCCTCCCAGGTTCAAGTGATTATCCTGCCTCAGCCTCCTTAGTAGCCAGGACTACAGGCAGGTGCCACCACACCCAGCTAATTTTTGTATTTTTAGTAGAGAGGGGGGTTTCAGCGTGTTATCCAGGATGGTCTCAAACTCTTGACCTCCTGATCTGTCTGTCTCAGCCTCCCAAAGTGCTGGATTACAGGCTTGAGCCATCGTGCCCAGCCTCCTTCTTATCTTTCTTCTTTTTCCTGCTCCTTCTTTTCCTCCTCCTCCTCCTCCTTTCTTTTTCTTCACAGGGTCTCACTCTCTCACCCAGGTTGGCGTGCAGTGGCATGCTCACTGCAACCGCTGCCCCAGGCTCAAGCAATCCTCCCACCTCAGCATCCCAACTAGCTGGGACCACAGGGACCACCATAGCCAGCTAATTAGAGGCACTCTTTATAGGAAATCCTGTGGAATAGTGGGATGTGGGTAATAATTATTGTACCCATTTCACCAACAAAGAAACTGAGACTTGAAAAGATAACATAAGTCCCTGAAGGTCACAGAGCTGACTCAGCCAGGATTTGACATCAGATATTGCTGATTCTGGAACCTATATTGTTTGAACTCCATCTATTTGTAGCATTTGAATTCTGTACCAGGGGTCGGAGTTGGGGTGGACTTGTCTCTCTTGCAGGTGGTGCTGGATTAATGAAGAGGATCAAGAAACAGGCAGAACTGGAAGGGATGCCCTGGCCGACCTGTGCAGAGCACTGGTGGGTGGTGTCACCTGCTTTCCATTGCAGCATGACATACTGACTTGGATTTGGTTGTTCTTTCAGTCCCAGGAATCCCCAAACCCGGAAAACGTAGCAAACCCCCTAGAAGAAAAGGTAACCAAAGAATCAGTCAGCAGTAAAAAAAAGGAAAAGAGAAAACATGTGGACCGCGTAGAAAGTTTGTTATTTATAGCACCTGGAACTGTTCGATCCTCAGATGACCTCGAAGAAGACACTGGCAACCACAGAGTTCCTTCCAGGTATTTTATTAATCTCTTTTCACCCTTTAGATAGAGCCAGAGAGTTACAGAGTCATTCCATTTAATTTCGGATTTGATGGGTGGGAGGTGCAGGTGTGGTATTGGACAGCAAGGGAAATACAGCTTCATATACATATACCCTCACTCTCTACACCTGGGTTCCCCCACCTGCCCTCACCATTACCAGACCTCATAAGGAGTAGAATGGGAAGGGTGGGACGCTTGCCTTCTCTCCTCACTCTGTGAACCTTTGGGTGGAAGCTGGCAGTGAGCAGCGGATGGCTGAACCATAACTAGCCGTGGGGGTAAACACAGTAGACTTGGAGCCTCTGCTGGCTGCATTCTGGCCCCCAAACAACTGCAGGTTGATCAGACTTCAACTTAGAAGCATCTTAATGACTTCCAGCATATCCACCTTTCCACTAAGGAGACCTGTAATGTCTGGCACCTGGAAGCTGAACATCACATTAATATTATGGCTTCTTCCACAATCTCCATTCCAGGGAAGTAGAGATGCTTTACTTCACTTAGGAGAGGAAGGGAGCAGGGAGAATAATTAGAATTAACTGATCTACAGGAAGCTCATAACATGCACCTGCTGTCATTCCAAAGCCACCAGATGAGCCAATTTGTCCCAAGAAAAATGTGTAACTGCTGAAAATCAGAAGACCCTGGTCTCTCCCCTCTTTCATCATCACAAGAGTAGTGTTTATCAGGCCCTTACTGTGCCCAGACACTTCTCATTCATTTTCTCATTCATTCTCACAGTCACCCCGTAGGCACATTGGTGGGACTGTGCCTCATATGGCAGACAAAGAAGGTCAGGGGGCTAGGTCCCAACTTAGGAATGGCAGAGCTGGAGAGTTATGGATGCAGATGTGTGTGACTCCACATTCTGAGTTTGCATTCATTTTGTGCCCCCTTGTTGCCTGTGATGGTGTGAGCAATGCTAGCTGCCACAGAACAGTATTGAGATATGCATTTGGGGAGGGGCAGGGAGAAGCCCATACAGACAGAGCCGGAGGAGCTGCTGTCAGATGCCTGGCTTTTCACCTCCCTCCACCTTGTCTGGACCTTGGGGAAACAGAGGCAGGGGAGGAGGGCCAAGGCACAACAGAAGGCTGCTGCCCACTTGGTCTGTGACTCCCAGCGTGCCTGTCCCTGCCCCTGGATATGACTGTCCAGCAGTCATCTATGATCTTAGCATGTCACAGGGCTCTGCTGTCAGTGCAGGTGACCACTTTGGACAAAGAGCTTAGGGGATTTGCCCAACTGCTCAGCTTCTCCCCAGGCAGATCCATTCTCAATGAATCCTTGAGCAGCCACTGTGCCATGGAGTCTGCTAGGCCTGGGGACTTCAGGAGAGGGAAAAGGAGGTCAGCCACAGGGCTGATTCAGGCAGGGCTCCATCTTTCAAGGAGATACGACGTCACCCTCCATTCTGCTAGGACCGGATGGAACGCGAAGTACGAGACAGGTGTTCCCACTTGCACATTTTGGACCTCAGAGGCAGGTAGAGAAAGTTGGGGCAGCCTGATCTAGGCCCAGGCCTGGCTAATTGCAGAGAACCTCTGGTGAGTCCCAAGACCTCAGGATATTAAGGAAAAGAGGTTACTTCCTGCTCCAAATGTTATGATTTTTAAGAATGTGTGGCTTGCTTTCTATTTAAAATCCTGACTTTGTTTTCCCTTGTAGATGAGGGCCCAATATGAGTCACTAATACCCATCCTATTTGTAAGCACTCTCCAAACCGAGTAGGCACATTAGATAAAACCTCTCATTTCTGTCCCTGGGTGTGAAGTTGTCGCTTGCCTAAATCCATAGGTGGAAGCCCCAGGATGGTGGCAACCGTACAACTGAGCCATGAAGAGCTGCAAGTAATATCAATTCAAAATGTGTGTTTGTTTTTCAGGGCTAGTCACAGTGACTCCAGCATTTGCATTCGACGACATAATAATAGGTCTTTGGAATCGGTTAGTATGTGAATTTCTTCTTTTCCTGCACGGCCCCTGCTAATCAATTCCATTCCATCCTTCCTCCTCCCTAGCCCAGAGCTTTGAAATTACTGACATGCAACAGTTAGACTTTTGGATAGAATACAAGAAAATTAAGACCTTGTCATTAAGCACAGTCCAATCGGATGTCCAGTTTGGGCAATAAGGGATGGAAATAAAGTGATGATTTTAAAGCTCAAAGCCTCTGTTATTAAAAAAATACCGCAACCAAAATGCCCTGCCTGGACCCCCCCGTACACACAGCAGAAAGATCACGTTCAAAGACAGAGGTGCGACATGAGTTGAGGTCCAATGGACACTCGCGCGTGCTTAGTGCCAGATGTGTTAGAACCCGGAGCAGCACACTCCCGTTGGGGTTATGGGTGGTGGGGTCTCTCTCACTTACCTGGGAGGGGCTTGGGGGAGGAGGCAGAGGAATGTATAATGTTTAACGCTTTGATTTTGGATCTAGATATTGACAATATTGAGAGATGCACAGCATGCATGGCTTTATGTGTTTAAAATCGTTTTATTTTCTGTTTCAGAGATTTCATCTTTACTAATTGGGTTGCGGGGGTTTTGTTTATAAATTTCACTGTAGGATCATTTTAGCTCTGTTCAGTTGAGGAATGCAGCAGATCTGGACGACAGAAGGAACCGAATGTTAACCAGGTTGGTGGCCTGACTTCAAGTTTTGCGGGGGTTGTGATAAAATGTTTTCACGTGCTGCAGCCTGCCTTTCGGGGGTGGTTCTTCTCCCACTGTGCTTTGTTGATAACAGTATTAATACTTTGGGAGAATGTAGGAAAATAACTATTCCAGAGAAAATGATGTAAACTGAATATGAGTAGAAAGGAAAAGTAGATATCAGTTAACACCGACGGGCTGGGCCTGGTTCTGAAAGCAAGTCGGTTTAAAGACGGGTCTGGGTTCTGAGCCTGCAGTTGCGTTTAAATGACGTAGGGGTACAGGCAGAGCCAGGCAGGGGAAGAGGTGGTAGTCTTGTGAAACTGTGTGTCCCCCGTGATGCTGGAGCCCCTGATACCTGTCTGTTCCCTGTCTCCACTGCAGGTACAATACTCAGAAGCTCACTGAGCTGATTTTACAGTTTTATGGCATCAGAGCAGACAAGAAGAGGGAAAGCAAACATGCCAGGATGTCTATGAAAGTATTTCTTGCTGTTGGAGAACTGCTGGCCTAACCTACTGTTGCTGAATTGCTGGGAACCTGCCCATTTAATACATAGGAAACCGGAAAAACTTCTCAAACTCTTACAATTCTGAGACACCCCCATTCCTGTTGAACTCGTAGAACTCCTTTATTTTTTATTTTTATTTTTTTTAAATTGTATTTATTTGGCACAGATTTGAATTGGCTTGGAAGGATTTCAATGACTGGAATCGAAAGCCTCTGTCTAATATTACCCAAGACCCAAGAGTATGGTCCTTAGAACCCCATCCCTCTGGCTCCTAAAGAAAGAAACAAGATGGCTCCTTTCCCCTGCCATGAAATGGAAATATTAATTCAAGGTTTCAACTAGGCTGGACATGCTCATAGGAAAATAGTTCTTTTTGTGCTTATGAGATAGAGGTGTTGAAAATACAACCTGCAAATTTGAGAAATGCAGGCATGTTTTCTGTTTCCTACATCGAGCATTTATTACCTTTATAATAAAAAATATGGGTTAGGCTGTGTGTGGTGGCTCATGCCTATAATCCCAGCACTTTGTTTTTTTTCTTTTATGAGATGGAGTTTCGCTCTTGTTACCCAGGCTGGAGTGCAATGGCGCGATCTCGGCTCACCGCAACCTCCGCCTCCTGGGTTCAGGCAATTCTCCTGCCTCAGCCTCCCGAGTAGCTGGGACTACAGGCATGTGCCACCATGACCAGCTAATTTTTTGTATTTTTAGTAGAGACGGGGTTTCACCATTTTGACCAGGATGGTCTCGATCTCTTGACCTCGTGATCCACCCACCTCGGCCTCCCAAAGTGCTGGGATTATAGGAGTGAGCCACCGCGCCCGGCTATCCCAGCACTTTGGAAGTCCAAGGAGGGAGGATTGCTTGAGGCCAGGAGTTTGAGACCAGCTTGGGCAACACAAAGAGACCCTGTCTCTATAGAAAGTATAGAGTTTAAATTGTTTCTGTAGACAGTTTTTTAAAAAGAGACCATCGTGGGTATTTCTCATGCAGTTTTTAGACGGCGGCAGATGTTTAATCCCACCCTGCCCATTACTCCTGCCATCAGGAGAGTTCTGGGACAAGTGGGTTTAGCCTCTCGTAATCTCCATTACATGGCATCAAACCAGCCTAAGAAGCTTACACTGCAGGCTTCTCTATATGCAGCTCCGAGCAGAGGCCCCAGCCCCAGCCCACGGCCCCTCCCTCACCCTTTCCTCTGGAAACTCAGGTCTGGGCTTGGTTTCCCCCATCTTCTGGGCTTCCTTATTATCCACCATCCAAAACCTTCCGGGCTTCCCTATTATCCACCAGGCAAAACCAAAATGACATTTTAACACTACCGCCTATAAAATAAAAGCAGGAAGGTAAATCTGACTAAAAATCTAGTAATTACTTTAAAGGTAATATTCCAAAACCAAAAACAAATCTGTAGGGAATGGGAGAGGTCTTTGTGTTTTTCTGATAATGATTTAAAATGATCTGCTGTCAGGGACGCTTCATCCCTTAGGTGACCTATAGGGCCCCCTTCATTGCTAACAGCAGTGAGCTGTCAGTATCTAACTCCGTGTCACTCTCTGAGAGCACTGTGGCATCAAGAAAGGTATCCCAAGAGACCTGGCCTAGGTGCCAGCTCTGTTGCTAAGTAATCACGTGGCCTTGAGCAAGTCACTCCACCCCACAAACCTCAGTGTGTCCATCTGCAGAATGGGGCTGTCAGCTCCTCCCTCCTGATGTTATGGAGATGAAAGGAGTGTGCAAAACTTGAGTGGCTGCCTAGATGGCCTGACCCACTGCCTTGGGTCAGCACACGGTGTGGGGCCTGGCTGGACACAGCGCTGGGGAGCCTTCAGGTCTCCAGGCGGGAAGTGCAGGGCTGGGGAGAGATGGGTAGCACTGGGTGGGGTCCACTCTCCTGGGGACCCGCTTGGTAACTGCCTTTCCTCTGTGTTCCTTCTGTAGGAAGGCCAACAGCTCGGGAGAAGCCATGTCACTGGGGAGCCACAGCCCGCAGAGCGACTCCCTGACACAGTTTGTCCAGCAGCCAGATATGATGTATTTTATTCTCTTCCTCTGGCTCCTGGTGTACTGCTTGCTGCTCTTCCCACAACTGGATGTTAACAGGCTGTGATGCGTGTGTCCGGATAATAAAAAAGATAGGACCCTGACTGGGGGCGGGGTTACTTCATTTTATTTTGGGTTCTGGGTGGGGCACTTCTGCGGACAGTTAAGGACCTCCGAGGAAACTTAGACCCCCTTTCTCGGTGTTGTGGTTTGGGTTTTTTTTTTCAGGTTTCTTCTTTTTTTTTTTTTTTTCCTGGACTACCTGAGCATGCTTTTTTCTTTGGCTGTGTACTTAAAACTCAGGCACAGAGCTGGATCCGTAGGTGGGGTTTTGTCCTCGTATGCCTTGCTGGGTCAGATAGGAAGCATCGTTAGTGATCATTAGCCTGCCTGGATCTTAGCGCTTCCCACACGCAGGTTCACATCTTGGATGAACTTGAGTTTCTTACCTCTCAGATGAAGGGCTGCTTGATGAGGAAGAGGGTGGGTGCCCCAGGCCAAGCCCTAGCTGGGAAGAAAGCTGTCACGTTTTCCTCCACGCATGGGTGTTTGAGAGAAGGTGCTGGGGTCCACGCACCTGTTGCAGTCTGGTAACTGGTTGCATTTACTGGGGAAATCAGAGCAGCCGGCTCTGTGCAAGCACATCCGGGAATGGCAGAATCCAGGGAGGAAGTTGAAAGCTGTGTTGAGAGCCATAGTGTGCTCTTTTTCACCTTGGTTTTTGTTTTGTTTTGTGTTTTTGAGGGGAGATGCATTTTAAATTCACTTTTCCATTGATTGGATTAGAGCCATGATTTCAAAGGCCCTACAGGGCCCTGCAAAGGCCATGCGGAGTGGCTGGGCTGGAATCCGCTCCCACCGGTGCTGGAGCTGGATGCCGCGGCGGCTTCCTGCCAGTAAAAGCTTTTGTGCACACCTGCCTCAGAATGCACGTCTTCACACGGGTATCCTTTGTGGTCAGTTGCAGTGGGTTTCTTGAAAAGGCTTTCTGGACAGCACTCCAGGAGCAGGCCAGCGCAGGAGGTTTCTGAGAGAAGAGAGGTGTCTCTAGCACCCACCCAGTCCCCCATTCCCGCCATCTCCCTCAGCCCCAGGCTCCATCTGCTCACTCCTTCCTCCCAAGACTCGAGTCTGTGCATCAGTTTCTCCTCTCCTTGCTCTCCCCTTCAGAAAGCATGTACCAGGCAACCCTTATGAAATCGTGAACGAGTCAAGAGAGGACTGAGAGCATCTTGTCTAGCTGAACCCAGAGAGACAGAGCAGCTTGCCCAAGATCACACAGCCAATCAGGGATGGACTTGCAGTGAGCACACAGGCACCTGATGCTCTGTCCAGAGCTGTCCCCTCTTGTAGGAAACTTCCACCGGGCACGCCAGTGTCCTGAGAAAAAGATTAAATGACTAGATTAAAATGTCCACCTTCAAACAAAACCGAAAATTTTACACCAACTATCGACATTTGTTTTGTTCTTGTATTCTTCCCGTGAGGAAGTCTTATTCACCTGCAAGCTCATCCCTGATTCCTTCTGAAACACCCTTGGCAGCTGCAACAGCTTGTCATTTGACATGCCAGCATCGTGCTTACTGCAGGAGTCACGTTTCTTTCTTTGCTAGCCAAGGGCTTGCTCATTTCAAGCAGTGGGTTTCAAGTTTACTGAATTCCAGCATGGCCAGAAGAATTGACATAGCACATCTGAGTCGAAGACAGCCAAAATCTGGCCTCTAAACCAGTCTGATTATAGTCTGTCTCCCCTCCTGAAAGAATTTCAGCCTTCCAAGCAAAAAGCTGTTGGGAGCTTGGAGTGATTCCATCTGGAAGGCCAAGAGCCCCCATGGAAAATGAGCTAATTAATGAGCTCCCTGGCATCAGTGAAAGCTCAAAGGTACAGATAATAAAGGTTATGTGTGTGATAGTTTATAACCCTGGGCACCACGTGGTCCTGGCCTAAATTAGATGCTCAAAGAGCCTGCGAAGAGCTGACCCAAATGTGCATCATTTCATTTTATGGGTCTAGACCTTGTTCAGAAAAACCTCTGCAGGCTTCTTCTCTCACCTATTACAACTTGTAATATTGTTTAAAGCATCTACTGGCAAGATGCCTAAAAGTCATTTGGTTCAGGTTGGCAGTCAACTGATTTTTTTTTTAAAGGAAAAGAAAATCTCATTTGAATATAGGTTTCTATGGAAGAAGCTGGATATAGAAAATGGATGTGGAAGTCTGCAGAACAAACCACCCATTGCTTGTAATTTTTTTTTAATTAAAAGAAATATAGTAAGAGAGCTGAGGTCAGGACATTGAGACCAGCCTTTAACAAGAACTAGCAGTGCCCTAAGTCTTGCTCCTTAGAAGTAACCACTTTTAACTCTCTTACATTTGCATTTTTTAATTAATTAGAGACATCTACTGGCTTGCCGTCACAGTGGATGAGGATTTCACTCTTACCATACTGCGTTTTGGTTTTCCAGTGGAGCTAGATCACACCATTTAGTACATTACTGTTAGGTGTTGACAGTACCTGGAGTACGGATGGATTGTTGACTCCCAGGCCCAGCACTGTGTTATGGTTTTGTGTCCTTTGTCCTCCAAATTCTCCCCTTAATTTGTTATTCTCTCTCTTTACTTTTTTTTTTTTTTTGGTGGGGCATATTCTTTAATAAGTTCCTGAGGAAGAGGACATGGGAAGTTAATATGGTTGTAAATATTTGGAGATTTTTGCATAACTTAAACTGTGTGTATTCTGCCCTTCACAGAAGTGTGGCTGAGCACAGAATGACAGGTGGAAAACAATACCCTCTCCTATCCCCTTCCAAGTGTGGTGGTTGAGATTTCGGATGCCATTCTGATTCCCATGCCTTTATATGTGACTTTTTATCCACCCTCCCTGGAAACATTTAAGATCTCCTTATTCTTGGTGTTCTGAACTGCCATGATGGTATTTTATCCTGAGTGTTAAATCTTGTGCTGGGCCCTCATGGGAAATTTCTTAAATCTTCCTGTGATTACTCACATCCTTTCTTTCTGGACCACCTATTATTTCAGTGTTGGATCTTCCCCTGCCCCCAGGCTGATGCTCTGATATTTCTTATCTGTTTTATTTTTTGTCTATGTTTCTGATCTTCAGGAAGAATTATTCGTTTTTATCTTCTCAATCTGAAGGTTTTATTGAATTTTTATTTTCCAAATTAACAAAACCTTTGGTCATTGTCCTGTCTTTGTTTTATAGTGTCCTGTTCTTGATTCGTGGATGCAGATCTTAGCTCTCTGTGGATGTTAATGATTGTGCTTTGAGGGGAAGTTCTTTCCCGCTCCCTGTGTTGCCCTCGTTTTCTCTGAGTTTTCTTTCTTTTGGTTGGTCTCAGTCTCTATCTTTCATGTTATAAACTTTTCTCAGATATCCTGTGGATCTGTTCATGTTTTAGAGTGAGGCGTCCAAAAGCTGACTGGAAGCTCTGCACCATTGGTGAGCTTTTCCCTAGGATTACCAGGTGGGCACCTGGACTCATCACTGGAGAACCCTGCATGTCAATATTTGCAGGTTTTTCTCTGGGGTTCATTCTGTTTCTTTAGAGATATTCCCACTTCTCTCCTACCTAGGAAATGGGCATACACAGGGCTGCTTTTACGTTGAGCCCTCATGGAGTTTCAAAAAAGATGTCCCATCTGGGCAGAAGCCCCCACGAGCACTTGGCTTGATTGACAGAGGACACCTTTTGCCCCATCCTCCAGGCATACACAGCCCTGAGCTTGGACAACAATGCAAAGGCTGGATTTTAACTCCTAATTGGCCCCCTTAGCCAGGTGCCTCTGTGCAATGCACAAACTGTAGGGCCATATCCAGAGACCCTGTTCTGAGTGCCCAAGTTCTCACTGCTGAGCAGGCAGCCTCATCACCCATGAGTACTTAGACTTTCATTAAGTTGCTCCCACCTTTGCTATGCCTGGTGTCCCTGAGTGGGAGCTGCTCTGATTTCTCCATGGAGTAGGAGCACGGTGGTCATCTGCTGCATGGGAAGGACAGGGGGCCTCAGAGCCAACAAATGCCCTGGTCTTCAGCCCCATGTCTTACCCCATGCCTCCCATTCCAATCCCCAAGCCTCTCCTGGAGGCTACAGCACGTCTCTGCTGACCACTCTGTGACCTCCCCTCTGCAGGCGTGTAGTCTTAGGATCCCCCGCCCTGCTTGCTTCTCTGTCACTTTCATTCCTGCATAAATAGGTTGCTAGCTCTGGCCTACTGTTCTCTTCTCTATCCCTCTGTCTTCAAGGCTGTATTAACATAACTTTCATTCCTTTGCTCTTATTCTTATGGGGTTTCATGAAAGAAGAAATGGGCTTGTGTGTTCGGAATACCATCTTGATCCATAAATGCCATTTGAGTTTTCTCATTGATTGCTGCTCTGTTGACTGGTTTGTGAACGTGCCCTGTGTCCAGCTGGGGCTGTAGCAACATCCATCTTGTTGAGCTGTGATCTACTGAGTGCCTTTGTGTAATGCTGTGCCAAGTGCAGGAGAGGGTTAAATAGCATGGGTAAGCTCTGCTTGAATGCCACGATTAGTTATTACCCTCCTTCCTTCCAGCTGGTTGTGCTGCCTACTCCCAGTAAATGATCTGAGATCTCCTGTCTCCCCAGAGATATGGTCGTGTGGGTTCTAGATTTTCTTTACCACCCTGCTTCATTTAAGAAACAGAAAACTGACTAGGCACAGTAGTGGCTCACACCTATAATCTCAGAATTTTGGGAGGCCAAGGCAGGAAGATCGCTTGAGGCCAGGAATTAGAGACCAACCTCCATCTCTACAAAAAGTTAAATTTAAATTAGTTTGGTATACACTTGTAGTCCTAGCTACTTGGGAGGCTGAGGCAGGAGAATTGTTTGAGCCAAGGACTTCGAGGTTACAGTGAACTGTGATCCTGCTATTGCATGCCAGCCTGAGTGACAGAGCGAGACCCTGTCTCAAAAATAATACAGAAACAAGTAGTCCACACAGGTGTGTGCCAACAAACAAATAGCATGGGTTCTCTGCTGAACATTTTGGCTAACATTTCCTTGTCAAAGTTTTTATCTTGCCATAGTTGATGATCAGGGTGGTCAGGTGTTCCTGGTCAGAACTGACCTTTGTGGGGAGATAACCTCCCACCAAGTCTCAGAAGCAGGAAGTACACTCTTCCTGCCCCATGGGCAGCCACCCAGAACATGCACTTCTCCATTTCTGGGGTTCAGCACAGCTCTCCCCATCCTCTTCCCATGCAGTGTGTGCCTGCTCTTTGTCAGGATGGAACAGAGGGAAGGTGGAGGCATTGCGGGCAGCCTGTGTAATTGATCTCTGTAAGTCACAGACTTTGAAAACCTCAGGAATGTAAGCACTCAGTGCCTCATTTAAGAGATGAAAAACTAAAGATTAGAAACGGGAAACAACTAGTTACCCTGCTAGTTGGTGACCTCGGGATAGCCATCTTCATTCCAGTTACGTTTTCTACAAAACTACAGCCTCAGCTGCTGAAGCTAACCTCCCCACCCCTTATCACTAAGGACACCATGGAGATCATCTCTCCAACAAAAGTCAGAATAAGCAAGTACAGGTGTGTCTTGCAAACATGCCAGAATCCATCATGGCTGATTTGGTAAGGAGCTGTTCTCCTTCCATTGTCTTCTATTGGAGGGCAGCTGTATGACAAGAATGCTTTCACATGTGCTCCGATTGTCTTAACTCTCCAGAAGGACTTCAGAAGCCTCCGGAGTTTTGAGACATGGCCTCTCTCCTTTCTGCTTGGAGACCCCTTCCACAGGGGTCTCCACTGCTTTCCCCGTCTGTATTCCTTTGTGAAGCTTTGTGCCCTGAGGTCCCAGAAATGGGCTGTGTGGGAACCTCCAGTCAGCCTGGCTTCTCAGGACCTTCTCAGCCAAGTGCTTGCCAGGAAATTAGATGGCACAAAGCTCTTCAAGGCCCAGGTGTGTTATTTCTCCTTCCCTGACATTGCAGAATCACTGCTGACTCAGCATTTGGGGGAAGATGTAACGTCTTGGGCCCCAGCTGCCCTCTGGAGCTGCCACCAAATAACAGGTTGTTCTGGCCCATCCAGCTCGTGAGGGGGCTGCCCTAATGACAAGGTCCAGGACGTGGGCTGGGTGGCAGAAGGCTGGGAGCTGGCGTGGGCGTTATTGTGCTTCTTTGCTGAAAATTGCTGTGGGCTTTTCCCCTAACAGCCAGTGTGGGAGGGCCAAACATGAGACACAACATCCCTTTGAGCTCCACAGATCTGGCGCCTTGCTCTCACCAGGCACCTCCTTGGAGAACAGCAGTCAGCAACTCATGGACGTGAACCCCGTGCACAGACTTTGCATGGACTTTGCACAGGTTCCATTTCCATCACGTGCAGACACCTGTGTTTTGGGCTCCACATGAGCAACTGCCTTCTTCACTCTGATTTTTTTTTTTTTTTTTAAGAGAGTGTCTTACTCTGTCACAGAGGCTGGAGTGCAGTGATGCAATCACAGCTCACTGTGGCCAGGAACTCCTGGGCTCAGGCAATCCTCCTGCTTTGGCCTCCCAAGTAGCTTACACTACAAGTGTATGCCACCATGCCCACCTCATTTCTTTACCTTTTGTAGATACAGGTCTCACTGTGTTGCTCAGGCTGGTCGCAAACTCCTGGCCTCAAGTGATTCTCCTGCCTTGGCCTCCCAAAGTGCTTGGATTATAGGTGTGAGCTACTGTGCCTGGCCTTCACTCTAATCTTTTTTAAAGACCCCTACAGTGACTTTCAGACCTTGTCATTTCTCTACCATTGTGTGTGAGACAGGGCATGGCGTGAGCTTGGTCATGTGTAGGTCAAAAGCCTGGAGTCAGAGCTCCTGGTTCCCCGAAAGCCTGCAAAAGTTATCCGAGTTCCTGAGCTGACTCCTCTGCAATTGCCAGACCCCACGGTGCTGGGAATACTGGCTTATTTGTGTTTAGAACTTGTTCTGAGAACCTGGATGAGAACACATCAAGCAAGCAGTTCCTCCCAGCCAGGGCTGGAGCAGCATGCCAAAAAGCATTCTTGTCTATGGAAAAAAGACAACCAGCATTTTGTGCTGTTTGACCAACTTGTTTTTAAATACACACATGCCTCAACAATCCCGGCCTCAATCCCATTCCTAACTTGTTTAAATCCCTGACACTCAGATGTCAAGACTAACTTCATCTAGCAGGGTTCTCTTTAAAGGAACTCTTTTTTTGTTTTCATTTTAATCACTGCCTTCTTCTCTGGGTGGTATTGTGGGATAGAGAAAGAAGTCAGGTTTGGGAGTCAGCCACATTAGGTTAGAGTCCCAGCTCTGTCACCAGATCTCGGGGTGATCTTCGCGAACCTACCTCTGAGTTTCTGTGCGTTATAGGCATTCACCACGTATTTGTTGAATCAAAAATAGCTTTCTTGAAAGTTTATGAAGTTGTAGGATGCCCAGCAGCCCCCTTTTCCTCTATATCCTTCCTCTCAAAGCAAGCAGTGACTATACCTCTTTCCCTAACCCTCAGTTTACCACTGCTTCTTCCAACCTCTCTTCAATCCACTACCTTTTTCCAAGCTACCCTGTCTCAAATCTAACTCAGGCCTTTTTGCAAGAGGAAGTTTAAGCCATTGTTTACTCATTAACTCACTTGACCCTTAGAACAATCATGGGAGGTGTTTATTTCAGAAAGGAAGCTAAAGGACAGGACAGAAAAATAACAGGGTCATAGCATGAGCTAATAAGTAGCAGAACCAGGAACATAGGACTCTTGTTTCTAACATGGAATTGCACTCTCAACCTCACTGCGGTTGCAAATTTGCAACCAAAATGGCCACCTTGAAAGGGTCTTTTGCAGTAAAATCTCAGTGTCCAACATCCAAGACAGTTCTTCAGGGCCTTCCATTAACTGTATGTCCTGACCCCAGCTGCTCATCTCTGCACCTGTAACATGTACTTCTCACAGTAGGAAACTGGGCTTTCTCCCTCAAAAAGAAAAGTAGAAAAGGCCTGAAGACAGCATAATTAAGATGGAGACGCAGAGACCACGAATTACTTGGATGAATTTATAATTGGTCTCCGAGACAGGGATTATCATTTTTCCTGTATTTTAAGCTTAAAAGTAATGATTTTTGCCTTGTTACAAAATACAAAATAGCAAAATATTTGATATTTGTATTCTATTTCCAACAGCTACCACTACTTCCTCTAGCCCCAGCAAAAATGGATAGGTGCATATTCTCTGCAAATCCATGCTGTGAGGAAGGACAGCCCCAGAACACCAGTATTTCTGAATGTCATTCAAGGATTTAGACACGTTTTCAAAGGGAACTCTGGGAGTGCCTCTTATCTGGAGAGCTGACATTGTCCAAAACAGGCCAACACTGGTCTGGGTATGGAGAACCCACATCCTAGCTCTGGCTCACCTGCAGATGCCTTGAATTTAACTCTCTGGGTTGGAAGTGGGAAGACCTCTTTTAAAAGTCCTTTCTAGGTTTAAAAATCCGAAGGTTACTAAGATAGCTTTTATTTATCTCAATAAGCGGCCTATTACTTAAAGCAAGTGTACCTCTGTATTATAGCCCCAAAGCTTGGGGCAGTGCTTCTTGGCTTTAGTATCTGAGAAAGGTGCCTTTGGGAAGAGTTTGAATCTTACAGGTTTGGAATGGATGTGTTGAAGTAGAACCTGGAAAATCTGCTTCCTAGGGCTGTTAGAACTAAATTGGTCTCCTTAAATTACGTCAGCATCTGAGGGAGTCTCTTAAGGGAATTTCTTAAATTCAACAGTTCCGCTGTAGAAATAGGTCTAAAGGACTAGATCTTCCCACTCCCTCATCTTTTCCCCTTCCCTAATAACGACTCAAAAAGGCTCCTGAAATTCTACTCAGAATCAGAGCCATTTGCATTCCGGCAAAGATCCCTTAAGCCAATGGCTGGCATGCTTGGGTAGAATGTCCCTGGGGTAGGAGAGATAGCTGGGGGGAGGGGAGTGTGGTGCAGGGGACACCTGCCCTCTGCCCTTGAAATTGCACCATAAGATGCTGCCTGTATCACTCACAGTGGTGCTGAAACTATCCGCCAAAGACAAATTGTGAACACGGAAAAATTGTTGTTCCCTACTGTACATCCTCAGGACAAACTACTAAAACTTGGAGACAGGAGACTGTTCAGACCACATTGTAGTGGGTGGTGATGGGTGTTCTACTTTGGGGGAGTCTGGTCTATTTAGCAGATTTAATGTTTCCTTATTGTCATGGCAGGGCTTAATTGACCAAGTTTGAAAGTTTTTACTGAAAGCTCTAAAAAAAACTATTGAGGAAAATGAAATGTTATTTTGTAGTACAAGGATTATTTTTGTCTAGTATATACATAGCTGTAGCTTTGTAAAAAAAAAAAAAAGAGATCTTTGTAAAAAATATATTAATGTCCTGTCTTATTTATTGATTACTGTAAATGAAAATATAAATGGCTATTGGCATAATTTATACCTGTGGGAAATTAACTGGAGTATTTGTTATTTGACTGTTTTCTATTAAGGAATATTAGGCTTGGTGCTATGATGAGTGATCTTGTAAAATTATCTGTATTCTTAAAGAAAATTTTTGAATATAAATTTCTTGAACTGACCATTTCACTGATAATATTTATTTCCTTGTGTGTTTGTGCTTCTGACAACCAGAAATTACACTATCTTTTCAACAAACAGTCCCAACAAATAATACTTTTGCCAGGGCTGAAGCAAAGCCAACTGGCTTTAGAGTGGTAGAGATGGTAGAGAATGTGCCCTTTTTAACCTGCATTAACTTGCCTTGAGCCTTTGCAATGCTCCAAGTAGTAGTAATAATAATAGTAGTAGCAGCTGTGCCATTCTGGAGTGAGACTGCCTAGGTCTGAATCCTGGATCTTTTACTAGCTCTGTGACCTCCAGTAAGTTACTGTAGTAGCCAGTGCTCCTCAGAAGACAAGAGCCTGAGGCCAAGCTGATGTGATGATTGCATCATTTCAGGGCAGAGGGGATGCAACCAAGGGCAGCAGGAGTGAGATGGGGACAGAGGGAGGGCAAATAAAAGGTGGTGCCACAAATATTTATTACACACCTACTTGGCATCAGCACTGTGCTGGTTGCTGCTGCGAATGTAACAGGAAACCAAAACAAGGTTCTTATCCCCCCAGAACTGACCCTCTAGTGAGGAGAGGCAGACAGAAACAAAACGGTAAGTTGCACAGTATGTCAGGTACATATTCGTCAGTGCTGTAAGTAAAAGGGAAGGAAGGCAGATTGGGGGTGGACAGGGAGGTGCCACCAGGCTCATAGAGCAACCAGGAATGAACTCTTTGAGCAAGAGACATTTGACTAAAGACCTACAAGAGCCACAGGGACAGATCCTTCAAATGCCTGGGAAAAAGTTTTCGAAGCAAAAGGAGCAGCCAGTGCAAAGACACTGAAGCAGGATCGTGGCTGTTTTTTTTATTTTTATTTTTTTTTTTTTGAGACAGAGTTTTGCTCGTTACCCAGGCTGGAGTGCAATGGCGCGATCTCGGCTCACCGCAACCTCTGCCTCCTGAGTAGCTGGGATTACAGGCACGCACCACCATGCCCAGCTAGTTTTTTGTATTTTTAGTAGAGACGGGGTTTCACCATGTTGACCAGGATGGTCTCGATCTCTTGACCTCATGATCCACCCGCCTCGGCCTTCCAAAGTGCTGGGATTACAGGCGTGAGCCACCGTGCCCGGCCATGGCTGGTGTTTTTAAGGAACAGCAAAGAGCCTGGTTTGGGAATGCACAGTGAGACGAGAGAGGCCAGGTAGGGCCTTGCAGGATGTGGTAAGGGCTTTGGCCTTTGCCTGGGGTGAGCTGGGATCCACTGGAGAGTTTTGAGCACATGTCATCTTACATTTTAGCAGGCTATCCCTGGCTGCCATGAGAATAAACTCCAGGAACAAGGGCAGAACACAGAGGCCAGCGGAAGTCCATTTCAACAGTCCGGGAGAGATGACAATGTCATGGTGGGTGCAGAAGTGGGGCAGACTGATTTCATTCTGGTTGTGTTTTTAAAGTAGATCCTCTGGATTTGCAAATGGATTGGGTGTAGAGTGTAAGAGAAAAAGGACTGAGAAATGCTCCAAGGTTTTGGCGGGAGCATCTGCAAGAATAGAGATGCCACTGGCTGATGGAAAAACGGTGGAGAAGCAGATAGTGAGAAAGACCCGGAGTTGCTGAATCTGAGCATGTTAAGTTGGAGATGTCTGTTGCTCATCTCCTTTCCCTCACCCTGCCCAAGGGTACTTGGGGTGTGGCAGTGAAGTGCCCTGAGGTGACTGTGCCTCTGTCCTCACTGGTAGGGTCCAGCCCCCACAGCCCCATAGCTACTCTGCTGCTGGGCCGTGATTGAGTGATTGACTGGACTTGGGCGTCTCTGATAGGTTTTGGAATTTCAGGTCCCCAGTGTACCATGAGGCCATTCCCATGGCGTCCATGGAGCCCCCCACACAGATCTCTCCCCTACTACTGCCACTCTGACACACCACCCTGAGTGGGTCTCCCATTTTCCCTGCTGTATTTTCATTTTAAATCTTTTGAACACAGATAACAGGAGGCCCTTCCTGAACCCTCCTGGCTGTACAGAGCCTTCTCCCCGCTTGAACAGAGAAAATGTGGGGAGAAAACACATCAAACTGCCTGGCCACATTAAAAAGGGGATGGCAGGCTACATGACGGGAAAATAAATCCTGTACTGAAATTTCCTAAGCCTGTAAACAGCTGAGTGTAATTATGTTTCACTTGGTGGTATATTACTTTGGACAGGGTGGTTATGCCATAAAAAGCTCAAAGTGTGAAGATGGGGTGCTAGTTTTTTTCCCATTAATTGCTGCAATGTTTCAGATTAATTTCAGTGACATGTAACAGACAGCCCAAAACAGCAGTGCTTTAAACACAAATAACTTTTATTTTTCTCTTCAGAGAGGCAGTCCTACTTGGCACAGCAGCTCCCCTGTCCTCGCCATTCCCAGTTCTCTGGGTATGTTATCCTTAGATGATCGTCCTTGCCTTTATGGTCCAAAATGGTATCTGTACATCCAGACCACATATCCATATTCCATGCTGCAGAATGGAAGAGAGGCAGCAATGGATGGCCCCCTGCCTTCTCAGAGTTCCCAGAAGAACCCACACAAAACATGGGCTCATCTCCTTGTAGAGCTAAGCCGCTGACCACAACTGCTATGGAGTAAGGAAATGTGTCCTTTGCCCAAACACATAGATCTTGCTTCTCTCCCATCTTTGCCTTCTCCCGAGCATGTCCTTCCTCCATTCCCAGCCTGGGCACTCATTCAGCTCCAGCCTCTGCTAAATGAATTATAAGTGAGAAGGGCTGTTGGTTGGGAGAAGGCATCTAGCAGCTGTGGTGACATTTGTTGGTAGACTTTCATCTAAGTCCCCTTGGCCAATGCTAGAGAACAGGGCCACCCCTTGGGCTGCGAGGTGAGGAAATGCAGTTCTTTAATTTCTGCCCTCTAAGAAAGAAAAGGGCTCTCTGTTAATAAAATGGAAGGAGAGAATGAATAGTGGAGAGGCAGATATAGCTCCGGTCTCTCATTCATCTTGGGGAACGGACCTCATTATTTTCCAGATAGGATGCCTAATAAGAATGACCATTTATTAAGTAACTGTTATAAACCAGAAAGTTCATCAGATTCGTGATGTTCATTTTTTTTTCTTCAATCTTTGCAATAACCCTGAAGGTAGACTATTACCACCCCCATTTTACAGATGAAGAAATGGGAGCTGATGAATGTGTCTTGTCCAAGGCTACCCACAGGCAATAAGGGACAAGGTCTAAATTTTTTTTTTTTTTGAGACAGAGTTTCGCTGTTGTTACCCAGACTGGAGTGCAAGGGCACGATCTTGGCTCACTGCAACCTCTGCCTTCTGGGTTCGAGCAATTCTCCTGCCTCAGCCTCCCGAGTAGCTGGGACTACAGGCGTGCACCACCATGCCCAGCTAAGTTTTGTATTTTTTTTAGTAGAGACGGGGTTTCACCTTGTTGACCAGGATGGTCTTGATCTCTTAACCTCATAATCCACCCGCCTCGGCCTTCCAAAGTGCTGGGATTATAGGCGTGAGCCACCGCGCCCGGCCAAGGTCTAAATTTTAACCCTGATCTCTCTGTCCCTAAAATCTGACTTTCCATTATAACTCAATAGACATCTTGACTATTACCTCAGAGGAAGGTATCAACAAAAACTGTCAAACTTTGTAAAATATTTAAAAAGATTTCTTCTGAGTCCAATAGAAGTGACCATGGCCCATGACACAGACCTTAGGAGGTCCTGAGAACATGTGCCCAAGGTGGTCAGGGTGCAGCTTGGTTTTATACATTTTACGGAGACATGAGACTTCAATTAAAATACATTTAAGATAGCGGGGCATGGTGGCGTGTACCTGTAATCCCAGCTACTTGTGAGGCTGAGGCAGGAGAATTGCTTGAACCCGGGAGGTGGAGTTTGCAGTGAGCCAAGATCACGCCACTGCACTCCAGCCTGGGCAACAGAGCAAGACTCCATCTTGAAAAAATAAAACAAATACATTTAAGAAACACATTGATTAAGAAAGGTGGGACAACTCGAAGGTGACAGGCTTCCAGGTTGTCGGTAAAGTTTTTCTAATTGGAAATTGGTTGAAAGAGTTATCAATAGAGACCAAAGTTTTATCATGCAGATGAAGCCTTTATGTTAGCAGGCTTCCTGAAGAACGACTGTAAATGTTTCTTATCAAATTTAAGGTCTGTGTTGGTGTTAATGGTGGAGAGTTATCATAAGGCATGTCAGGCACCCACTTACCCTCATGGCTTGAACCAGTATTTCCGGTTAAATGTGAAGAGTGCCCTGGCCTAGGAGGAAGTCCATTCAGAGGCCGGAACTACAGAACTTCTTCCCCACCGGCCTCAAAGCCCAGGCAGGGTGGCCCTGTTCTCTAGCATTGACCAATGGCACTTACATAAAAGTCTACCAGACTTCTAATTCCTAAAGAATTTTTGTAAACCAAAAACATTTTTGGTTTACAAAGGGCTGATGCTGAGAGGTTTTCATGCTGAAGATTCTTCTTCCAAATCCCACATCCTTTGTAACCGTATTGTGTTCCTCAGCTGCTCATGGGTTAACTCACGGATACAAACCATCTGGTATTCATACTCAGGTGGCTGTCTGCTTTATTTTGGATTCTCCAGTTCTGTAGCAAAAGTTCTATAAACACAAGTGCTAGAAAGAAAGCTCACCTTTCTTTCTTTCTTGAGGTCCAGAGGGCTTGGCAGGGCTGGACCCTGCAGGCATTTTCCCATCAGATTTGGGTATTGTTCTCGAAGCTTTAGCATCTCAAATCTGGTGCTCCACCTCTTCCTGCCATTTCACAAACAGCCCCATATCCTTTTATTTATTTAATTTTTTGGAGGGGGAATTTATAGCATTTAATTATATAAATGGAATAAAAAAACAAAACCCTTGGCATTGTGATGATGGAATGTTCTCCATCTTTACTGCATCAGTGTCAATATCCTTGTTGTGATACTGCACTATAGTTCTGTAAGATGCTACCTTTGGGGGAAAGTGAGTAAAGGGTGCACAGGGCG